GAAGCATAATTATAATATGTGCCTCTTAAGAAAATCAGATTATGCCTCTTTAATTCCCAAAAGTTCTAATTTTGGATTAATCCACAACATCATGCAAAATAATATAAATTTGAATCATATTTTAGTTTCTTATATTATCATTTAAATGATATATGATAAGACTAACAAACGTTATTAACAATTAAGTTCAAGGGTAGACTAGTTCAAATTGACTGAAGTGAATTTAACTCTATTATCGCCCACTTCCGGAAGTCACGTTTTGCAAACATTTATAACTTTCTTCTGCTTTCCTGATCAAATAAATGTGATACAGACCTTAAGATGAATTTATAGAGGTAGGTAGCATATATTTTAAACCAAATATGCTGACAGGCTTGCATACATCTTGGCCAGAAGACTGACTGAGTGACTGATCTTGAACATGACAAAATGGCGGAAGTAGATCCAAAACAATATGGCGGAAGTAGCCTGCGTTTTTTTAAATCAACGGTGCACACCGGGATCACTTGATTTTTTAATTTATTTTTATAAATTTCAAAAGAAAAGTGACTTTTCTTGCGATTGAGCTTTTGACATGGAGTTGACGGGGAGTAAAACAATGTGCAATAGTTCAGTCAAAAATATGCTCCACTTCAAACTCAATTTTCGAAAAATTATAAGCGTTTATTTGGGCAAAATTGAACAAAAGTGAAATATTTCACATGTTATTACTTCATTTCGATGTATTGAGAGTAATTATCTGTCCCCTTATTATTCAAAAAACGGTCATCAAAACTTGGGTGAATTGCCAATGTCAACAAAAATTTTCGAAAATGGCGGCGAAAATGGTTTCACCTCTCTCATATTTTGCTTCATAACAATCAGCACAAGACAGGTTACGCTACATATTAAATACCCAATGGTAAAACTTTGATTAATTATTAATTTGAGACCGATTTCATGGAATTGGGTGCAATAGTTTATTGTAAAATAAATTGTAAAGTTTCATAATTTAACATGTGAACAGATACGAGCTGAAAATAAGCCTCAACCTCTGTGGTCCCTAGTAATACAGTTCCTTGTGTGGGAATCAATATACTTGCATTTGATAAAAATGACCATTTTTCTATTTGTTATGGAAATTCATACTCATTACATCTTTAACTGACTTATTCTTTCTCATTTATTGTCAAAGTTCTTATAAATCATTGGTGATTTATGCATAAATCATAAAATTATGGGAATGTTCTTACCTCACATGTGTGTTAGAAGCCCTCCATTTTGTTTCTTAATTCAATTGACCAATGAAAACAAAGATTACAAATATGCAAATTTGATAAAGATATGAGGTCTCTGATTGGTTTTCAGTGAATGCTCCTTCTCCAATCATAATCTAGTACAGAGATGTAATAGAGGAGGGCAATTTGAAAATTTTGTGGAGTCATGGACAAATAATGGACATAGTCCATTTATGGACACTTAGACACTTCTTGTGTGGCATTCCCTGAAAATCCAAAATACCACAGTAGATGGGTTTTTACACCCATTGAGAGCTTTTGTAATGTGGATAACCACACAAAAAAATTAACCACAGAAGCTATTTATTTTACTACCCGAACAACCACAAATACCCCCATTCAAGAACACGGACCAACGGACGGACGGACGGACGGACGGACCAACGGACGGACGGACGCCTGGTCAATCCCATAGGCTCACTGTGTGAGCCAAAAACCATGATCCTATTCTTGATATTGCTAAAGAGCTGAAAGACTAACTTCCAAGAATTATCTATCATGGAAGTGTGGAAGCCATGAAAAGGATCTGCATCGAGACTCGGAAAAAAGCAGACAAAAGCATAAGCGAGGGGGCTAGTATCAGTCAGTGCTTATGCACAAAAAGATCATCTAGAAATAAATCATCAAAATCAACAGTGTATGACTAATATGCATATATATGCAGCAAGGCTATTAGTACTATATAGGCATCAGAAGAAGTCTCACATATGTGAAAAACTTAAAAAGGAAGTACAAATGAGAGCAGACCAAAAACTAAGAGACTGTGCAATCAAAAGGAGATGAGAATACCATTGTATCAAAAATGATGGTTCTTAGTGATCCGTGTGCTTAAATCAATAGTTAGGCTACATTAATTTTTTTATTTTGGCAGCCATCTTGGACATCCATATAAATAAATTATTCAATGATTTTATTTGACAAAATTAAAATCATTGACTTCACAAATTAGAAATGATATCCCAAAATAATGTCCTAACTGCTCTATGTTTAGATCAAGAGTTACATATTCACTTCTGCAGCCATTTTGGCAGCCTTCTCGATGTCCAAATGAAGGAATTATTTTATGACTTAGTTATACACCTAATTGAAATTCTTACCCCATTAAACCTTGTCATAGTGTCTAAAATCACTGTTCTGAGCTTGAATCAATAGTTACACATTTGTTTTGGTACCCATTTTGGTGGCCATCTTGGATTTCTATAAAAATTAATTATTTGATAACGTAGATTTAGACATAAATGAAATCCATGACCCTTACATAATATGCATGGTCTACAAAATCACTGTTCTTAATTGTTCTTTGAGCTGAAATCAATAGTTACATATTTATTTTGGCACCCATTTTGGTGGCCATCTTTGATTTCTATATAAAGTAATTGTTTGATGACTTGGATTTAGAGATAAATGAAATCCTTGACCCCTAAAACCTAAACATGGTCTCCAAAATCACTGTTCTCAACTGTTCTTTGAGATTAAATCAATATTTACATATTCATTTCAGCACCCATTTTGGTGGCCATCTTGGATTTCTTTAAAAAGTTATTATTTGATGACATCGATTTAGAGATAAATGAAATCATTGACCACTAAATTGTAGAAATTGCTCCAAATCACTGTTCTTAAGTATGTTTTTTAGCTTAAATCAGAAGTTACAAATTCGTTTTGGCACTCATTTTGGCGGCCATTTAGGATTTCTATGAAAAACAATTATTTAATGACTCAAAGATTTAGACATAAATGAGACCTTTGACCCCTAAAATGTACACATGGGCTCCAAAATAACTGTTCTTAAAGGAATATTCCTTGCCAAACCATCTCTCTCCTCATATGGTAGCTATAACCATATATATGCTTGCCATGTTTAGCAAAACACGCAAAAATGTTTTGATATGGTCAAATTTGATCACTTAGAAATGTGATGCTCAATTCCAGTAAGCTGCCATCTTTTAAAATTTCACACAGGAAGTGATGTCATCGACTCTCAACTTTGCATATAGCATTAGGTGAGGAGCTATTAAGAATTACAAAACCAGCTAAATATTCTTTTTCAACTTTGTATCTTATTTAATCCTTCTGAAAATCTCTTCTTTTATTCTAAGTTGACAAGCCCTGAAAATATTTTTGCACAGAAAGTAATGATCACTTGTCTAGAAGTGATTTTGTGCTACTTTCCTATACTGTTATGGGCAAGGTTATAGAAGTTGAGAGTTGATGACATCACTTCCTGCAAGAAATCTTAAAAGATGGCAGCTCACTGGAAATAAGCACTAGATTTTTAAATGATCAATATTGACCATATTAAAACATTTTCCCATGTTTTGCTAAATATGGAAACTATATATATGATTATAGCTACCATATCAAGAGAGAAAGGGTCTGGCAAGGAATATTCCTTTAAGTGTTTTTTTAGCTTAGATCAGAAGTTACATATTCGTTTTGGCACTCATTTTGGCGGTCATTTTGGATTTCTATGAAAAGTAATTATTTAACAACTAAAAGCTTTAGACATAAATGAAATTGTTTACCCTTAAAATGTAGACATGGGCTCCAAAGTCACTGTTCTTAAGTGTTTTTTTTAACTTAAATCAGAAGTTACATATTCGTTTTGGCACTCATTTTGGTGGCCTTTTTGGATTTCTATGAAGAGTATTCATTTGACAACTGAAAGGTTTAGACATAAATGAAATCCTTGACCCTTAAATGTAGACATGGGCTACAAATCCAATGCTCTTAAGTGTTTTTTGAGTTAAAATCAATAATTACAAATTCGTTTTGGCACCCATTTTGGCAGCCATCTTGGATTTCTATGAAAAATAATTATTTCATGACTCAGATTTAGACATAAATGAAATCCTTGACCCCTAAAACCCAAACTAAGATCCTAAAATCACATTATTTGTATCTCAGTATGCTTAGATATACCTACTATATTTTGTAACTCGTGCACTGGCGGCCATTTTGAAAAATGGGTGATAACACCCATTTAGCTACAACTGTTGCAATGCTATCACATATTTTGTTACTCTAGAGGTCTTAACCTTCCCAAAAATCACTATGGCGATTATTCCCCTAAATTGATACCGATAACCCAAATTTTGGGGTGAAGCTGATGGCCTATAACATCCAGCATACATGTATGTGTACATCTCCTGTAAATGTATTCTTTTTGCATCTAAGACAAAACTGATCTTCCATAATTTGATTAGAAATGCATGACATTGCATAATTTTTATCTTTTATTAATTATGAGAAAACATAATAAAAGGTGAAAGAAAAATATGTACATATTCTCTGAAGATAACACTTGATTTCGATGTGACCTGGCGACCATCATCCATTTTTCAATTTAGATATAGCCAGATAGCAGCGTGACCGGATGTCTCATCATGTATCAAATGTTTCAAATGTATCAAATATTTCGTTTAGGGAAAATGTTAAAAACTAGTAATAAAAACCCGGGTAAGGCGTTTTACAAAAACTGATCGGTATTACACTGCACACTTAAAACGCCTAACGACTTATGCCGTTTACTAGTGACAAGGGTTCTTGGAGTTTTAGAAAAGCGCTTTTGTAAAACCACAATCGTGATTACACCTAATTCTTAAACCTGGTTAAAACCGAAGAAGCTTTTGTAAAACGCCAGGTGTAATTCCAGCAAATATTTCACTGATCATATTTTTAAACCATATAGATTAAAATAAAATAAAAGTTGCATAAAGTCACCTTTTAATAATACCACCAATGTCAAGCTCTATGATGTAAATGACGTCATCTTTCTCACGTATGTGGTCAGTAATGATACCACTATCCCAATAATCATCCTCTGATTGGGCCATCACACTTGTCCCTCTACATAGAACCTCTCTCACTATCATATCATCCAACTTCACCGTTCTCTCTGTAGTGTCATCAAATAGTACAGAATACCTATAATGCAACTGCGTGGTTTAGTTCAAGATCCCTTTACAGTGAAACCTATGTATGGAACACATTGTGCCTTGTTGTAGACAGGTGTTCATTATTGAGAGGGTTTATGAAGTGTAAGTTTATTGGACTTTGTTCTTTGGCAAACTGTTTCACACTGAGATTCTTACAGACATATGTTCCATCGGACAGGTTTTTCTCTTTATTAATCAATGCAAGTATTTCATCTATTAATTGTATGTTCAGCTGAGGGCAGCTGGATATCAAGCGTCATACTTACAAAAGTTATTGCAAATGATTATTTAAGTATAAGAATCTGTAACTGTTTGCCTCTGCCATACACAAAATATGGTGGCTTTAACAATATGTCACCAATCTTGGTGAGATTATGATCAAACAAAAACTCTTAATGTCTTCAGAAGAATTCCTACCTGCCAAATTTTTCCAAGCATACAATCCGTCCAGGATAATAGTTGCCATCGCTCCATTTGGCCATTACTCTTGTACCAGTGTGGAGAGTCTCCCCTTCCTGTTGTAGGATTGACTTAGAAGTGTCCCCTAATGTTGTGTCACCCAGTAAGGCACTTATTGTAGCTGGGTCACCCTGTAGAGGGACCTCTGGACTAAAAACATCAAAATTGAGAATACATGTATGATGAATATCTAAAAGGTTTAATTCATCAAACAGGTCACTGAAAATTTAAATCTGTGACAAATGACTTTAAAAATCATTCAGGTACACAAACGTTTTTCAAAATGTTTTTTTTGCACCTACAAATTGAAATTTTACAAATTTTAAATTGAAATATGTTCAAAGATTTTAAAGGATGACACATTCCTATTTTTCATGCTTTTTAAACTTTCTCTAACAGAATAACGAAGTATTGAATGCTAATTAAATTATAATTCCCACAGTAGTAGGTTTACTGAAACTGAAGACTAAGATTCTTAGGATTTTCTCTAACTTACCTAGTTTTGAGCTCACCAGAAGTGTCCTTCATGGGTTGCGTATCAGTTAGTTGTTGGTCAGACTGTGCACCAACCTCTACATCTGCAAACATAGGGTACAGCAATGTACTAAATGTTCATGTCATCTCTATGCAAAATACACTTTTTGCAAACATAGGGTACAGCAATGTACTAAATGTTCATGTCATCTCTATGCAAAATACACTTTTTGCAAACATAGGGTACAGCAATGTACTAAATGTTCATGTCATCTCTATGCAAAGTACAGTTTTTGCTCAAAGGACTTGTTATTGGTCATACTGTACTACAACAGTGCTTATAAGAACAAGATATTGAGAGTTCAAAACTGAAATAGTGATACAAAAACCTGAAAAAAACTCAATGGACTAGCAAATCGCAACATACAATGTTTTCCCAAATCATTATGAACTTTTATGGACTATTGCATATAGTACATGTGTAGTGCTTGAGTTATTGCCTGGTTGGACTGACTAACTGATGCTCAGATGGAGGATTTCAATATATCCTTATGAACTGAAGCTTAACATGATAAGTTACCTTGATAATCAGGCTTTTGTTTCTTTCTAGTAGATCTAGCACTCTGTGGTGTATCAGAAGAACTTTGAGACCCAGATGCCTTTCTTTTGGGAGGGCGGCCTCTTTTAGATTTTGGAGTATCCTCTGTTAGGTAAGCTTCTGGTGCGGCAGTTAGGCCAGTAGGAGTTACTGCTTGCATGGGAAGGGAGTATTCTCCTTCAGGAACTTTTGTTGAAAAGCCACCAGGTAGGCTGTAATCACTAGAGCTGGTTGAGGTGTTTAGTCTCGGTGGGGGGTCAGGTTGCGTTAAGTTCTTCAACGTCATATTAGGGTCAGTACTTGAACTTGTAGTACTTGTGGTACTTCTACGACTTCCACTGCTACTACGACGCTTCAGAACATGACTATCCTTTGGTTTCATAAACAGAGCATCATCACTTATAGAAACTGTTTTCTCTAGCTCAGGGCTTGTAAAGAGGGATTCGGATGGGTTTATTGAATGTAGAGATTGTACTGATTTTTCTCCACTAGACCGTCCTGACTTTTCACTCGTGATTTGATGTTCACCGAGACTAGGTGAACTAAATAAAGATTCGGATTGCCTCACAGCCTCATCTCTCTGTTCACTTCTATCACCTGGTCTGGATGGTGAAGGGGTTTTCAAGTTTTCAATAATTTGCACCGAAGGTTGAGTCTCCATGGCAACTGGTTTATCCACTTGTCCTTGAACTCCACCTGGTGGTGACCTCTGTAATGTCTTTCCTTTTTCCAAACTTGTTTGCCTTGCGAGTCCTTCGGGTGAGTTGTTTGAAGACTTTGAGCCCCCCATACTAGAAGAACTAGTGGTTTTACTCAATGACATTGCACCGGATGAAATACTACGACCCATACTTTGATGAGACGAGAAAGAACTGATATCACCAAGGTCGCCAGATGAAAGAGAGGCTGTCGTACGAGAAGGAGATGGTTCCACAGAGCTCGGAGGACTCAATCTCTCAACTGTCTCTACTCGAGTTTTCTTCTTCTGTAAAAGAATTAATGTTCAAGATTCAAAAATGTTCATGCAAAAAAACTTAAACTTGCCTGGAGATTAACATTTTGGATGCATCACACCTAAAGTATATTATAACATATGTAAATAACAAGTTTTTTGTATAAATTGTATATATTAGTGTAGTGTAGTGTAGTTTTGTGAAATTTCATTTTGTAATGACTAATATGTCAGGTCATGACATCTAAAGAGTCAATAAAAGATATATATATATTCCACGAAGGAATGTGTATGAAACTGTTTTCCAAAATAGAGTTCTCAATTCTCTGTCTCAGAATGGGTATAGTTGCCAGGTCAAAACTATAATTTTCATCTGGTAAATTAAGAATAATTTTTCTCCCTCAGTTTTATTATTGCTTATTTACTTTTCATTGTTTTTAGCTGAATGTTTTACTCCTCCTGAAAAGAATTACTCTTTGTATCAATTCATGATACAGGGTGGTCAAAAAATGGAAACCCTTACACCATTTTCCTCTTATCTTACTCAAGGATACTTTACACTTTTGTACATCATTCAATTTCCTACCAGCTTACTATATTTTATGACCATCAGACTGATAGTCATAATGTAACAGCACTTTAAAGAAACCTGTACATAACATGGGCCTTATAAATTTCTTTATTCATATATCTGGTTCACAAACACTCTATTTTTCTACTCTAATCCTGGACAGCACATGTGAATGCAGAATGATACACAAAAATAAAACTAGAGTAAAACTTATGTTAAATAAATAAGCATTATTAAGTTTGATTGTGAATGAATTGATATTAAGATAATATTATCACAGTGATTTTATGTAAGATCATTACTTCTTGTACAACTTTCTTCTCTGATCCATCTTTGAACGTTGTCTTGGTGACAAGTCTGTGTGTTGTCTTGGTGATGATTAAAACCTCCTCATATTCCTCAACGCTTGCTATCTCTTTGGATAGATCTTTCTCATCAGATTTCTGAACAAACAAAATTTATTAATAAGGCAAGGCATTAACATGCAAAATGTCACCACCATTTGTTACAGATGGCAACCACCAACCACCTATCGCCATCACAAAAAATGGAGACCATGACAGTATGTCACCACTTTTTGGTGGTAACATGAAAATGGGTTGCATGGATATGCTAAGAGGAAATGAATCACAATCGTCCATGTCGTAAATGCACCCAAACTGAACAGAGGGGTGTTTCTTGCTCTAGAAGAAGCTTATTACAACTGAGAATCATTTGGTGATAGATAAATCCCAATGAATTGAACTGAGTACATTCAACTTTCTGTTCCACATTTAAAATTAAAATATTTTAAATCACCTATGTGACTCTAAGATTATCTTTTCATCATTGTCATTGGATTTTTTCATGTAACCTGCAGTAACTTACTTTAGTTTCTAATGTCTTGCTTGTTGCAGCTGAAGGAGGTTGACCTTTGTAGCTAGTAGATGCTTTACTTGGGGGACCTCCAACGTTAGGCAGCAATACTGTATCACTTCTTTCAACTTGCTGAGAACATACAAAACACATTTATTTTTTGGAAGAATTTACACATTTTTGCACTTTAAAAACGTCAATAACTCCATCTTTTGGTTAGGATATGACTTATCTTTTGGAAGGTAACATATTTGATAGGGTAGAGACTATATTGGAAGGATGACTGATTTAACACCCTGCATGCAATTTTGTTGTCCCTCTGATTCTGCCTGAATATAATGGGGAGAGGGTAATGTCATTGAATATCAACTGAATGAGTTGTTATTATCGCTGGATCATACTAGATAAACAGGACACAATCACAAATATTACACTTTTTGATCGAAAAATTCAAAATGGCCTCCAAGTTATTTACCCAGCATGCCCAAAACCTAATCAGATCTTGGCACAAGTCTGCTAATCCATCTGTAAACATTTCAAGTTGAACGGGTAAGTGGTTTTCCTGGAATTTTGATGACAACATTTATGTGGCGACTGCAAACCTGTCGAGACAGACATATGTTTGGCCATTAGCACGATGACAATATAGCAGTGATAAGTTGAATGTAAAGTGCGATAAAGAACATACCATTGTTGATGTCTTCTTTGCTTCTCCGGTGGTGTGAAGTTGATCATGTGACTGCTTCTCTTTCTGTGATTGGGTCCCATGAAACTCATAAGGGTCCTCTTGTATGTCATAGCTCTGTGTTGCCTGACTGTCTTTATCAACAGCAGCATTATCCGCACCCTTCTCAGCAGATTCATCAGCTATATCCTTTATACTTGTAAAGTTCACAGAATCAGATTTGTTTTTAACTGATTTCGAGTCATCTTTTCCATTTGGATTTTTTTGTAATTTCCGTGTCCTTGATTTTGATCTTTGCAATTTTGGAGTTGATCTTTGAGATTTAGATGCAGATTTTTGTGACTTTGAACTGGTTGACTCTGATTTTGAAATGGTGCTTTCTAAATCTGAATCAGAGCTAGACTTTGATAAGGCTCTCTTAGTTGACCTGCTTTTCCCAAGTTTCAGTTTTCTGGTGTCTTTTTTACCACTAGATGTCACATTTTTTGTCGGTCTCCCTCTCCTTATTGCTCTTGTTGGCTTAGTTGTGCCATCCTCTTGTTTTCCAGCAGTTGTTGTGTCCACACTTTCAATATATTCAGTAGCCTTGTTATCAAATTTATCACTTTGAGGGTCAGCAGGAGTTTGATCATTGTTATTCAATATAATGTTTCTATCAACATTTTGAACAGAAACAGGGGCACTCTTTGAGTTCGCTTCCTCAGCTGAGGGGATATCTAATGTTATAAATTCTTCACCATCTTTAGGAGCATTATCATTAGATCTATCAAGTTCACAAATGTTTTCTTTTGATTTCTCATCCTCAGAGTCTGCCTTTGATTTGGGATTCTTGTTATCACCAGGTTCAACTCCAATTGGTTCTTCAGGTTGAGCCTTCTTGGCTCTAGTCTTCTTTGGCTGAGGCATTGTACCAAATGGATCATTGCTGAAAGAATATATGTATTATATATATAATATAATAGTCCTGAAAATGTTTTATATACATGTACATTTAGTGAAGCTAGAATCTGTCATAAAGAGGGGTAATTTTGAATATTACAGTAAACCTGTGTGATAGAATATCTCTCTGTAAGGAACACTTGTCTATTAGAAACAAAAAAAACAAGTCCCATTAACTTCCACATTTATGAACCCTATATGTAAGACCTGTCTACAAGGAACACTTTTTGGTTTGTTTTTTATTTACTCTATAAAACATGCTCCGCCTACACCACCTACCTATCTGAAGTGTTCGTATTTGCTTTACGTTTGCCCCTTACACGTCCAGGTTTTGTTGTCAAGGCAACCCCAGCTGTCTTGGTAGCCACATCTGTTGCTTTATCAATGGCATCCATAGTGACATCTGGTTCTCTGGTAACATCTTTTGGAGTTGAAGAAATATCACCCTCTAGTCGTTCTGGTGCAACTTCTGGTACTGTAAAAAAAGTAATTGCTTCATCACATTTTGTTGTTTTGAGATTTCGCTTTGAAGATGGGGTGTGATATGAATAGAACTGCATATAGCTAGTGATACAATTTCATTTACTATATCTGGTAATTACTTTCTCATATGATTTAGAATTTGAAAATATCAAAAATAATGAATCTAATTTGTACTCACTATCAATGTTGAACATTTCTGGCCCTACAGGCTGTGGGTCTTGAGACTGGGACTCTATCATATCTATGGTAAGTGATGGGGCCACTTGTGGCTTAGACCTTGAATTATAGTACACATAGAATATGTTAAAGACAGGGCTTGAGGTAAGCTCTATTTTTCTGATGGTCATACGGATTGCCACTTTTAATGATCAGGTGGTATGTACAAAAACTTCCTGGTCAACCAGTATGAAATTCAGCTGGTCATACATATAATTTAACATTAATTAAAATGAAAGTGAAAACACGAATTTTTATTTACTCTTTGTAATTGAATAGTACATGTAGTAGTTGTGTAGATGTCAGAGGGGGATTTCCCAAAGTTCAGAGTTGGTATTGGGTCATGTGGTATCATGTGATAGATCCATTTAAGGTTCATATGACCATATGGGATTCCAACTTACTGTTGTCCGCTTATGTTTTTGAATGACATGCATATTCATTGGTTCTTGCTTGAAGACAATATGCAATATTTTTTATAGTATGTATTGCATTTCTACAATATGTACCCTTTCTACAATATGTACCCTTTCGACAATACAGTATGTACTTATATTGCCTTTCTACAATGTGTATTTCCTTTCTTCAAAATGTATTACCTTTTTACAATATGTATTTATTACCTTTCTACAGCAACAGAAGTAGTCTCTGAATGTTTTGTTCTTCCTAGACTTTCTCCACTGTCAACTGGATTCTTCTGTTTTTCGATATCTGTTAATTCACCTAATATGACAATATAAAAAATAATTTACAGTTAAACCTTTCTATTAGTGAACAATGACGAAACTGTTTACAGTGAGTTGTTTACATTTAAAAGCAGTATGAATATAATATGATGTAATAAATAAACATCAGTTAGATTCATGAAGTGACATGCATCTTGGGTTTCTTAAGAATTCACTTGACACATTCATTCTTCATTACATTGTGAAGCTAAAATTTCAAATGCCTAGTATAAAACCATTAAGGAGGTAACATTAGTTTATTATTACGAGATAGTCAAGGTTTTGTTTTGTGAATAAGAAGTAAGCCAAGAGAAGTAACCATGAGTGATAAAACGACTGTTTCTCCTGATATAAAGGTAATAATTTGAAATAATCACAAGTTTTGTCAACAATAGCATGCATTAGTGTCAAGGTAATAAATTCTAAGATCTGAGTCATCTTAGACATTTGTATTATCGGAATTGGAGATTAACCCTAATAGTGTCTGCAACCTTTTTTATAACACTAAGTCGCAAGGAGGGGGTCATTTGGACCCCCTCTGCGATCTTTTATAACTTCTCTGATTTCATTATTGTTGGTATTGTTTTAAACCATATTCAATTACCTCTTCAGAAAAGTTTTATTTTCTTAAAAAAAGTAGGTCAATAGAGGTCAAGTTGAGGTCAACGTGACCGAGGGGGTGTAATTTTTTGACATTTTGTGATAAATTATCAATTTTCTTTCCCAATAATTTTTTTGTGCCAGAAAATGCTTCTCTGCATTAAAGAATACTCTATATTATCTTTCAAATAAAACTAAAATCATGGTTAAAGCTTTTCTAGAACTGAAATTACAAACTTTCAAAGAAAGCAAGTACCGTGAAATCCCATTGAAATCAACATGAAATTGAATAATCTGCAATTTCTTCAAGTTCAACTTGTTTTTGTCTTTAGAATCTATACTTCGAGATGTACAACAAATGCTAATCAGTGATTTAGTATGCAGATGTATAAATGATGACTTGGTATTGTTACAATATAATTTCGGGGTAGGGGAGAAAGAATTTTTCATGATCCGCAAGGTATTCATAGAGTAGTTTTTGAAAAAAATTTCCTGAAAAAATCTTCCAGTTTTGTTGAATTTTCTAGCAGCAGGAATCGCTTTCTCCACTTCCATTCATTTTGTCTGATCACCAGGCATGCATGTAATAGGTGTTGCCATTATACTTCTCTACTTTGAATATCAGGTAAATTGACGGAGAAGGCAAAAGATGGTATATATAAAGTCTTTCAAGATTATTGTGATTCTGCCGAGAGTACTATACAATATTTTGTAACTGCACCGTCAGTCACTAAACAACTTGTGGCAATTTGGAAATGCAAAAATGACCAAGATACAGTAGAAAAATGGTTCAGTCTCAACTCAAGGATTTTTGAGGTATAGTTATTATTATTAACATAGATTGCTGAATGAGTCACATTGCCTAACTTTCAAACTTAAAAAATAAGGTATTGAAGATATTAACAATCAAAAAAATACCATACCTGCCATTTGTTACAGACACAAACTGTCAAACAACGACCACCAAACACAAATGCCAAACACCATTCACAAAGTTGGAGATTATAACATGTCTTTTTGTGATGGCATTAAAGTAATAGACAATATGTGCAAATTGAGTGAAATCAAGTGCAATATTTATCAATGTGTGTCTTTTTTATTAGAGTAAATGTATTATGAATTTTAGATATTAAGTTGGGATTCATCTGGCTTTATGACATTTGATAACTTCATGGTATACTGGAAAGGGATGGGCCTTGATGAAAGATTTGCACGGATGCAGTTTGACTACTTGGATACTAATGGCGATGGCCTGATCAGTGAGGAAGAATTTGCCAATGGTTTTGTGGACCAAGTTTCTAATACAGATGAAAATACACTCAACCGCATGTATGGGCCTCTTGTGAACTACTAATACATACAATTATCCAGTACTGTGTATGGATATTAAGTTTGTGTCATTGACAACAGGAAGCATACACGCAAGCACTATCTCTACATGTATCGGTCAAAATGTAGTGAGACTTTGTAAACAGTTATACTATTAGCCTATATTAAACATACATTCAAGGAGGATTGGCTCAGGATCAAAACTCAATATTTTTCCAACAATGAAAATGCCAAAATGTGATTATTTTCTGAAATTATAACTGACAATAAATTCAAAATAAACAGTTCAAAAGAATTTTGTGTCATAACATGCCCATATATGGGACAGAATATCGATGTTGGACTCTGGAGCCAATCCTCCTTGACATACAATACAATATTTAATAATCATTATTAACTATTAATCAAGTGTAAACTTTGATACCGTTTACTTTTGGGCTTTTTTGAATTAAAGAATTGTGAGTTATCGACTTGATATATAGACAGACAGATGCTCTAAATCCCTACCCAATCCCAACGTAGTGGGTTAAAGATTTATACTAATTTACAATTTTACCTTTTTGATGTACATTGAAAGTATATACTGAATGAATAAAAAAAGTAAAATCATTGCTTGTAACTTAATTTACACATTTTATCTCTCAGTGCCCTAATTTTATGTTCTCTTACCTTTATGACTGTCTGTTCTCAATTCAACATCCTGAATATCTTTGCTCTGTGCTTTTTGAGTGTCTTTGACATTTCTGTTGTCCTTTTCACAATGCTGAACATCATTGTTTGGGCTCCCATCGTTGGAATGAATAACCCCATCATCAACCTTTTTCTCCTCAATATCCCCATCATCACTGTTCTTCCCTCGCCCTATGAAAAACTGAGTGCTTTGACTCTGTGAAGGTGAGAGACGTAACAGGAAGTCATCTCCCTGCGATGGCTCTACAGTCTCCGAATCAAGCACAATCACTGAATCAGTATATTCTTGCTCATCTGAAGTTTTCTTTCCTACAGGCTGAGAAGTGGGTTCGACTCTGGATTTCAAAGTTTTTGATTGCAACGATGTCTGTTTTGTAGATTTGGAGGAGTCTTTTGAGTGTTCAATAGGGCCTATGTTAAGTTGTGGAGGCGGGGATTTCTGTGAACTAACTGATGTTGACTGGCGGGGTATCGAGCTAGGTGGGAGGGAGGCATTGTCAAGGTCAAAGCTGGCAACTGACTGCCACTCCTGAAACTAGAAATACAGTATTCAATTACTGATCTGGAAGTCTCAGTTTGCAATATCAGGATATAATTCTAACAGTCAACTGAATGGAGAGGATTACAATAACTTTGCTATTCCAAAGAAAATATCAATTACAACTAACGTTATCCAAAGATTAATTTGAACAATAATATTCATCAAACTATGATTCTCTCAACCTTTCACTCAAATTCAATATTATGAAATCAAAAGTCAAATGATATCATATCTGTAACATGTGACTGTTATGCACAGGCCTATGACATTGAGCAACGGATAGTTGTTCAAGTGACAGAAAGTTGTTTTAATATTTAGCCTTTACCTGATTAGATGTTGGTCTACTGGTCGAGTCTCGTGTTGTATCAGATTCAATAGTCTCGGTGGATATCTGGGGCTTTTTGCGCCTTTGTCTCGCATACCACTTCTCATTCTGTATAGAAAGTTAATCTGGGTTTATCTTGTATCTTTTTAGGAAACTTATGAAATTCTTGGAGGATTTCGCTTCAAATAAAAAAAGCATGATCCATCAGGAAAATGATTTTTTACATACTTCTCAATCTACAGGGTGTCAAATAAGTCATTACATCAGATAATGACTTTATGTCCAAAGCATTAAGTGACTGGAATCTGTTTGTGTTTTACCAATTTTGGAAGATTTCTTAATCAGAATTTAGCAAAACAGGTACAATGATAGTGAATCAGTACCTTCAAAGTTTCCCCAGAAGAATCGCTTGATGTTTTCCTCTCAGACACTACAGATGGTGTTTTTGTATGCTCTTCCTCTATAGGTTCATCTTCAGCAGTATCATCATGTTCATGCAGGATTTCTGTCTTTTCAAGGTCATCACCTGCAACATTGCAGAACATGTACAGGGTAAAAAATACAGTCACTGTACTCCCAATTCATTCATAACTGAAAGCCTTACAGTGTATTCAAATAAAGAGTTCTACTTTGTTTTGTATTAATATCTATGGAGAGCATTAACATGCAAAATGTCACCACCTACCATTTGTTAGAGATGGCGAACATGGCACACGGACTGTTAAACAATATACACAAAAAAGTAGGAGACTATCAAAACATTCCAAAATTGTAAACATCAATATCAAGCAAGTTATGGGTAATTTTAAGATAAGATTAAAAAAGTGGGTGATTACTCATGTGAGCTAGAAATAACCATCCTGTCGCACACCTCCTGTCCATCAATATCAGCAGCTCGAAAAGTCATCCATCAGTATTTTCAGTCAATAACTCACGAAATTTTATGACCACTATGATCTTTCTAAACCTGGCTGCAAATGAATTACCAATAGCTAACAATGCAATTTAAATTCTCAACTTTGTCCCATGGCTGTTTCAATGCTGAGGAAATGACTCCATGTTGTTTAAAAAAGAGGGTAAGTGCTGTGCTTACCTTGGGTGGGTGAGCTTGGAATGATAATTGGGGTTGGACCATATGCCTCTGGAGAAGGGGGCAGGAAATCACCACTGGAATGGAATTATATATTGTATACGATTTTACAATAGCTGACTTGTATTTTTGTATTTATTTTTGTAGTTTAGTCCAGTTTTAGTTTAGTTTTATATATTGCATATTATATAGGGTGTTCATTCAATACAAAGTATGTGTAAAGAGACTTTATGGACACCCTGTATATTGAATGACTAATATGTCATTGCTATAAATCCAGAGTCACTTTCAGACATAGATACACAATATAAAACTAGGTATGAATGCCATGTACAGCAAATTAACATTTATTAATTTGAACATCCTAATTAATAAACATGACCTTAATATGGTGAGAGAATACATAAAATACAGGGTGACACAAAACTGTCTTGCTCTAATTTTAGAATAACTTGATTGAATCTTCATGAATTTTCTTTTGTAGTATTCAATGTTTGAAACAGTGGTATGCTTACATAGCACCAACCACTATGAGACTTACAGAAAAGGTTATTCCAAAATATGAAAGTTACATTTTTTGTGTAACCCTGTATCATGGCTTACTTGTCACTGTCTGTGCATGTTTCTGGGACTAACATAGCCTCCTGGGAGAATTGAAGGGAGCCAATGTGTTCAGCTGGAGTGGATGTCACCAGATCATCAGTTTGGCTAGCTGTTCATTAATAAAAGTGTATGTAAGTTCAATCAGTCTGCCCCAATCAAGGAGGATTGACTCCCAGAATGCAATCTCGATATTGCATTCTGGGAGCCAATCCTTCTTGACCCCAATGTTCAAATTGTAAAAAATAGTAGCCTTGCTGTTGTGGCAGACAAACAGTGAGGCCTTTTTACACCTTTTCAAATTTTAACAGCTATTTCCTGATCCCATTACATTTCTGAGAAGTACTTGCCCACAAAAATGTATATGCTTTATAAGGTTCTATAATCTGATGTAATTGATTTTGACAACCTAAACTTAAAAGCCTGTGGTTGAACTCAAGAAAATTACTTAAAACTTACAGTAAAATTTTAAATTTTGGAACTACTTTGAATCTAAAAATTAAGCAATTAAAGGACCATATTGAAACAAAACATGTAAAAATAGAAACATTTATACATGTCCTAACTTTTGTATATTTTCATTTGTTTTGTATTTTAGCTATCATATCTGTGGCCTCTTATATTTTGATGCTTCTCTGCCATGTTATTTTCGAAAAAACGAACATGGCTGAAACTCCCTAAATTACGAAAGGCCACAGCTTTGCTACACATTATACATAACTATCTGAAATATGCAAAAGTTAGGACTTGTACAATGTACATATGTTTCCATTTGTTCACATACTGTTGCAATAAAGTCATTTGATTGCTTTTTTTAAATTCAAAGTAGTTCCAAACATTTAAAATTTTACTGTACAAAGAAATTACAGAAAATTATAAACATTCTTTGACAGCCAAGAATATTGATTTGAACATGGTAAAACAAAGATTTGAATCTTCACAATAAGTGAGCATTTGTGCAATACGCTAACCTGTGAATGGATCTGGCTGTGAGAGCCCTCTATGTTGACCCCCTAGTACTGCATCATCACAGGGGTTAGTCTCTGTTGATGTGTCCAAGTGTTTCTCTCCAGATGTGTCTGTTGATTTAGGTCCCCTTGAGCTACTAGATGATGTATTATTTGACGTCTCATGGGATCTGTTCATGGAAGAGATGTATCCACTGCCTTGACTACTGCCATGTTTGTCCTTGTATTCCATTTGATCGGCACTTCCCATGCTGCGGATACGTGGCAATGTTCTCTTCCTGGAAAGATCATTACACAATAGGGTACAGTTAAGTAAATGGCTTTAAATGGAAAAAACAAAATTTAGTACAAAAATTTGCTACTGGAAGGCAGAACATCTTGTTATTTGTTATTAAGTCCCCAGTTCTCTTGAAAATGAGAAAAATCATAACAGGCATATTTTGTTTGTGCCTTTTGATCTGAATTTCGAAAACAAGAGTTTTGCTCCTGGGGTGCTGCTTACTGTGTTAAAAAATTAATGATTCCAGATTACATTTTCAATCGTAAAAGATACATTGGTTTAAAAATTGAACATATTGGTTTGCTTCTATACTTCTGATTGAAACTTGAAACTGAAAAATTCTCGCAACGCTAGTTCACTTCATTTACCTGGGGGATGCTTTCTCAGAGCTTGAGGAACTTGTAAATGAACTAAGGGGACTAGTGGTGACGTCTCCAGGACTCGGGGATGACGCATCTTGGGTGTGGGAGTACCCTTCTCCTTCTACAACAAATGCCTTTGGTATTTCAAATAATTAAAGAATATGGAAACACAAATATACTTCAGAAATTTCACCAAAAGTGCCTTTTAATAACAGCTGTTGTTTTTATCATTAAACTGAATATTGTATGAAAGTCCTGAAGGAGACATGAAGTCCTGAAAGAGAGGGATGCTTAAGAGGGGTTGGCCTCAGTGCTAATATCCCTGATGTGATACAGATACAGAATATAACATGTACATTGTGACGATATTAGAATAAGGCACATTTATTTGCAAAAATTTGATCTAAAATAACTGCACCAATTCCAAAGATATCATTGTTATTTTTTAACAATTCTGAGTTAGTTAAGCACATATTGGAGGGTTAATTACAATCCTTGCTGGGAATAATTTTCATCAAGTATGCAAGTTAACCCTTTTTTGTTATTCATTTAAACATTTAAAAATGCTTCCCTACAACAACAACAGAGTAATGATTTGATGTGCAGAAAATGGCAGGGACCAAATGCATCAAAATGTTTCTTTTTAAATTGAACAGAATAGCCAAGTTGTATTTGCCTTTATTGATCAATCTATTTTAAAGTTTCAATTAATAACAAATGGGACATGGACATATGTTATGAAATTGGAATAATTTTTTTCATCCCCCCTATGTAGAATTGACAAATAATTCTGTACAAGGCTTTGGACAAATGACACCAATGACTTAATAAGTGAATTAGCAGTAAGTGCAGTAAATCACAGTGCTCTATATGACAATATTAAGTACTCAGAATGCCACTGGATTAAAGAATGCCACTTGGTGATTATTATATTATCTCAGAATGTATTATTTTTTATGACACTATCATGACACAATATTGAATCAAACTGCTCAAATTGTGTTTTATTTGTGACAATATTTCATTGCAAAATCAAATTAATTTGAAAAATTATCAAAAGTTATTTCTTTTATTTGAAAGACCAATGTTTATTTTTTATTAGAGTACCTTATTCCTTTGATGATGAAATGTGTTTAATTTCTTAAATAAATAATATTGTTTTCAAACACTCGACCTCTAAGAAGAAAAATAAACATATACTTGCAAGAAAAAACAAAGTTTGATTACAAAATTAAAAACAAATGACCAACTAATAGGATTAACATGTGCATTGTTTGCAAGTAAACAAAATACTGATCAAAAAGGTGTGAGGGAAAGGCAACAAATATCTCAGAAAATTAAAATTGAAATCTTTTTGCAAATCTTGAGAATTTTGCCCACAAACACTATCCCTTAAAAATCTCCAGAATATACAAACAAAGGAGGGGGGGGGGTCTAGCTAGAGATGGAGGGGGGGGGGGGTGCTCTCGCCAAGATGCCAAGAAATAAATCAATTTAGCTTTTCCTTAGTTTGTGACATTAGAATACAGTTATTCTTTGCTCAAAATGGCATGTAGCATTAGGCTATAATCTGTCATTTGGAGCAGGCGAAATGGTTTCAGGCATTAAGTCTGATATGGTACCTGAGCATGAGTGTCAACCAATCAAATGTAAAATTATTCAAGGTGAAATGAAATTTTCAATTGGAAGATCACTGATATTAATGAAAAATTAATAATTAATTCATGCAAATATTTTCAGTCATTTGGTTGTACATTTATTCCAATAATTATGTAGAAAGGTGCATGTTAAATTGAAACTCTGTAAAAAGATAGAATTGAATGATAAAACCCCATTCCACCACTCTTATTCATCTCTTTAAGATGGAAGAGACTAGAACCTGCAGCAGATAAATCTCCCAAAATATTTCCAAAATCAACATTATTTCTAACATTTTGCCTGAGCATTTCCAATTTTAAACAAGCAATTTGACATTAACATGAAAAAATGCTACCATCTGGTAAGTTGTTGCAAATGGTTACGACAGTGTAACAATTGCTACTGCTAAATACTGACCAACAGTGGAAAAAATGGTAGTCCAAAATCATGTGTCACCATTTTAACACAAGCATTTAACTAAATTATGATAAAATAGCAATGGTGATATAAAGAAGGTGGAGGGTGGCTTCTGCCAAAGAACCTGCAAATTGATTTTCTTCTTCCAAACCCTGTAGTGGTTTGAGTGAACCCCCCTCGCCTGGCCAAAAATTCTTTCAAAATCATGCAGTTTTTAAACATTCTTTATTTCAAGGAATTTGGGTCTTTTTTAGCCAAAATTATCAAAAATGAACCACCTGGAATTTTCTAATAAAAAGTGTCCCCCCATGGCAAAAGCTGGCTATGGACCTGCTTCCTATGTCTGTATCATTAGAGGACAGTTTGAGGTTACTTTGATGCTCAAAATGGCATTCTGGATGGCATTATTATAATCCGTCACTTTGAGCAATCTGGCTGGTTTCAATCAAGGTCACATGACCTAAATGACATGTGATCCTCACAGCACTTACACCTGATTGGTTATTAGAGTACATGTGTCAACGAATCAAATGAGAGATTATCCCAGGTGAATGCAAATAAAAAGGTAACCCGTTCACCTAAAAAATCAGTTTCAAAACCACTCACAAACAAGCGATACATTCAGAAACAATACACAACATAGGAGCAACAAGTTCGATAAATATTTCTGAAAAAAATATTTGGATTGGATTGGACGCAATATTGGATCAATAGGAATATATCAGGATAAAAAATATTTCAAAGGTAAGAAAATCTGTATTTTCATTTTTACAAATTGAACTAGCTACAAAATTAATGCTAGTTCAGAGTTTGCAAACAATGTTTAATTTCTTTGATGATGAAATTCTAATTTGATTTGTTCAACATCAAAGTCAAATAATCTTGGTTGTTGGAAATTGTCTGAAGATTTAAGAAAAACATTAGCATTATCTCTCTCAGATTGTTTTTGGTTAAGCCATTTGTTTATTTCGACCCAAAATTGTGAGCAATATAAATCTAAAGATTATTACTCCGTATTATTTCAATATCCAGAAAAAAATGTTTTATTGTGTCAAAAAGTAACCATTGGCAATACTGCATTTAAATTTCTACAGTGAACTATTTGTAAACAAGAATTTGATTTAATTATAAGATATCCCTTATGCTATTACCTTAATTATATATGTTTTCTAGATTATCATTTCTGAACATATTTTTAAATATTTCTCCTTTATACTTTCAGGCCAGTTCAAGATGGACAGCAGTGATTCTCTTGGTTCTAACAGTCCCAGTGACAGCCACAATGACAGCGCGTATCTCTCTGCCAGTGACTCCCCTCAGGGTACACAGCAACAGATGCTATCTGGGGGTGCTACCCCAATGACACATCATCAGAGCCGTCACCAGAGCATATCGCCCATTGCTGTTCAAGGATCGTATAGTTCTGCAAGCAGTCCGGGTGTCAATCATGCATCGTCCGAAGGTGCCTACCTCGGTCCTCAGAATTTATCCGTGCAGGACAACAAGGAGAACATATCACCCGATCGATCACATGAAAGTTCCTACTCACATCCTTATGATCTGACTATTCAGCGGGGCCAGGAAAACCTACCACCCAGCTCGATTTGGGACAATACGTATCTCTCCGTAAGAACGCCATATGTACCCCAGTCGTCTGCAAGAACGCCATATGTACCCCAGTCGTCTGCAAGAATGCCATATGTACCTCAGTCGCCACCTGATGGTATCAACTTGGTTCGTCTACCTGTTCAGAAGAGCAAGCAACGTGCAACTTCACCATCAACTTCAGCCGAGGCTCGGGTATCTCACATTGAAGCAATGGTGAAAGCCGAGGTCGATCTCGATCCTACTACCTTCTCTGGGACTTCCACACTCTCGCAGCAGAAGCGTCGATTTGCCGAAGACAAGCCACCATATTCGTATATCGCACTAATCACAATGGCATTGGAGAGCTCAACTAACGGCATGATGACACTCAATGAGATCTATGCATGGATCATGGGCCGATTCCCATACTTCAAGAACGACCAGAAAAGATGGCAGAACTCGATCCGTCATAACCTTAGCCTCAACGACTGCTTCACAAGGATCCCTCGCCCCCCAGGCACCCCCGGGAAAGGCAACTACTGGGCACTACACCCAGAATGCAAGGACATGTTTGGTAATGGGAGCTTCCTGCGTCGCAACAAGCGTTTCAAGGTACAGAAGAGCAGCGCACGAGCTGCAGACCCTGCCCAGCACGTGCAACAGCTTGGCTCCCTTGGACAGTACAGCATGTATGGTGCCGCATACAATCCATTCGCTGCAATCAACCCCCTAGCGCTTCAAGGACTCTCACAGCAAATGCAACAAGGCAGCCATGGATACCCCCTCAGGTCTGACCAATGGACCCCAGCTACAACCAGCGCAGGGTACACGTCACCCTACTACCCCACTACTGCAGTCTCGATGGGATCATCTCTAGGAGGAGGATACCTTAGCCAGACCAGTGCCCCATCGTCATCATACCCTTCTCTATCCCAGGCATCGGTATACTCAACAGCACAGTACGACATGAACCAACCCAGACCAGCACATAGACAATAGACTCTAATGAACACTGATACAATAGGCCGTATATTGCCAAATAGCAATCATGAACTTTGTGAAAGTGATAATCGTGATGCTGATATTCCTTCAGGAGGACATTTGAACTGTTTCAATTTCTTCTACTTTCTATTAATTGAGTTGATGCTGGATTAAGAATTTGTATGTGTCATGATGTTTAACTTAATTTCTTGTTGGGTTTCAACCTTATGATGATATTTGTAAATATGATGTTAATATAATTCAATAAAACATGTAAAATCATCTTGGTGATATGATGTACATTTAGCATTTATTTTGCATTAAAATAAAATTTGTATATATTGTGTAAACAATTATTATGTTGTTAAAACACCTGGTAATAATCCATGTTAATCTGTTAAACCAAAATGTCAACATTCAAAAATTGTCCAAAAAATCATATTCACACCTTTTAATCCCCTGGTCATATAATAATATTTTTCAGCCCCTGGGTAAAGATTATATTGTTTTAATTAACTGACTAAATTGTTGAATTAGGAAGATTAAATAGCAGAGAGGGGCTTGAGTATATAACTTCTTTTATCTCCCTAATTAAAGGTCACTCTTAAAAAAATGCCAGAGAAAGATAAATCCCTCACTAAATGTCAATTAGGATATTAATAGAAGATTGGGAAGTGAATATTCTTAGTCATTTAATCTTAATTTTATGTTCAAAATTCTATAATTTCATGTTTCTTCATACACTTAGCCACCTTTCCAAAATTTTATAGTAATATATGTATATGCATATCTCCTTTAGCCTCAATTTGCCCCACTATTAAGCATCTCTGCCTCACTTAAATTTAGAACCTGGCTATGCCCCAGCCATATTAACATTCTATTAGATCATTTTGGTTAACCAGTAATGTGGCAGTTACCATATTCTCTCTAATGAACGCCCAATGAGTCTTCAAAGTTTCCGCAAAAATGTAATGATGTTCATTTTTTATTTATTTTCAGTAGACGCTTTGCTCCACAGCTTTGACATCTTGTTATAATTAAGAGTCTTGTTTGAAGTCCAATTACGCTGGGAAGAAAAGCTATTGAAAATGACGCCGGAGTATCATACTTCAAAATGTACCATTTCTTGTTTAACTTTCTAATGGCACGATATAGTGACACGATAATATTTACACATGGTTTCAGCATAACTATGAAGGTATAAACGAGATGTTGATGTATTTGGTCTTTTTAATTCTTTTATAAAAAATAATGTTTAATTTTTTTGTCCGCTGTGACGGAGCAGTTGCAAATGTGAACTGTGAAAATGCTCCGTCACAGCGGACAAAAAATATTAATATTATTTTTTATTAAAAAATTAAAAAGACCCAATGCATTAATATCTCATTAATACATTCAGAGTTATGCTTTAAACATATGTAAATATTATCGTGTCACTATATCATGCCATTAAAAAGTTACATTTAGAGTTTGATACTCTGGCGCCGTTTTCAATAGATTTTACTCCTAGCGTTATTGGACTTCAAACAGAAGTGAAGGTTACACGCAAATGATATATCCATTGCATGGAGTAAGTAATTATCTTTGATATAACGAAACATATGAGTTAAAAAATAAATCGTGAAGCATTCTTAGTGTTTTTATGAAAAATAGCATGCTCCGTCACAGCGGACAAATCTTTCGATACCAGCCTGTGTGTATACATGATCTTTTCTAAAGTTTTCTGAAAAAATTTGGGATGAATCCCATTTACACAATTAAACATCGTAGGTAGATTAAATCCTACGGTGAACTCAATTTGGAACTCTATGTAATCATGTAAAACTAGAAAACTGGACTGGGAAATCAAAGGTCGAAGGGGTTTTATAGAAATATATTCCAAAAATTCTTGACACCCAGTAAGTCGTAGGTTGTAGGGTCGAAGGGTTTTTAGTACATTCCCATACCTTAGTTTAATCATGCTGGATCATACATACCATGACTAGACCTTTTAGTAATATCCTGCCCTCTATGATCTGTGTCACTAACTACAGCTGTAAGTGCATCACTGATTCCTGCAGACTCACTTTCACTGCTACAAACAGAATCAATTTATTTTGATAGTCTGGTGAAGGTATGAGGTTATTTGAGACTTCAATGAAGTAGCAAAAGGTTTGTGCTTTTAAAGTTTGCCCCTCGTGCTAAATGTGACCATATTCTATTATTGAAATGGATTCATCTTCCGCTATTTGAATGGATTTGTTTGAGTTATCAAAAAAATCTGTTAGCTTCAAACAACGAAAATGTGGTCACTTTACTGAAAAAGACAAATGGAAAAGTTACTTTCTTTCTCCGATCATAGCTTTAAAATACTTTAAACATACCTTGCTGTTTGTATTACATGTAGATCTGGCCCTGGATCAGTTTTCTGTTCCCCACTTACAGCAGTAGAGCTCCCTGTAGTTTCACCCCTAGCACTTAATTCTCTTTTGCCAGCCTTCTCAGGGGGTACAAGCTCTGGCAGAGACTTCTTACTGAAATTTATACAATTAAAGGTGCAATAATTAGTGCAGAGGGGTCATTCAACGATCATGGACCAGTGTCAAAATATATTTAAGTTTGGATATTTCATCAAGACTAACATCTATTTTGATTATCTACAAGGAAACCCCCTAGATAAACATTATTTTAGCTAGTATTCCTCTTGAAACATGGTGGATCTTAAAAATATAAAAGTGGAAGTCCCCTTTTTGAAGCTTTGAACTGAATTTACACTTCTTAATACTGAAATTGATAATTTATCCATACATTTTAAGAAAATAGGTATGTCAAAGAAGATGTTAAACCAAATGTTGCCTTGATAGCTCAGAAAAATGAAAAAACTTTCCTATTTTCTCTACAGTCCTTACTGCCCCTTTAATACACAAGTTCAATGAAAGTATTTGTATAAATTAATGAAACTCCTTGCCTAATTGTGATCATAAAATACACAATTCACAATACCTTTAACTTTACTGGACCCCACCGTGGTAATAAAGGTAATAAAGAGATTAATGATCTGTATCCAAATATTTTACCCATATATAACAGTAACATCCAGTTACTGAAAAGCTAGTCAGTCACAAGCAAATGTATCCAGCAGCTCCAATAATCGAGTGAGAATTCCCTTTAGCAAGCAAGCGAGGAGATTCTCACTCTATTTTTGGAGCCCTTGGATGTATATACTCGTGACTGATTCGTTTTCAGTGGTCGGATGTTACTATTAACATACAGGTAACATATTTGGATACAAATCGACCTTCTGATGAAATGAAATGGTGAAATAAATATTTCCTCCTGAAAGTACATCAGACCTTAGATCTTAAAGCTGTTTAACATAAATTTAATCGGATCCATGAATAATGCACCTTTTCAAAATCAATGCATAATTTTGGGGGATTTCTTACATACAACATACCTATCTTCAGAGCTAGGTGGAGTATCTTCACTTGGTGGTGTTTCCTCCTTTTCTTCCTCTTCGGGTGAATCGTTTGGAGGTTTGGGGGGTTCTTGTGGTGGGTCACCCCCACCCCCACTCCCTCCTTCTTGGCCCTCTCTACCTGAGGCGCCAGACTGACTAGTAGTTGGTTGATTGGTACGCCCCCTATTTCCAGTTGAAGACGTTTTGTTTTCTCCCTTAGTTGCTCTACCTGTAATAAATTGTAAAAATATTGTCTACCTAATCTAGCTATGAAATGAAAAATAATACAAATCTCATGAAAATCAATGACATGTACTTACAAAACAAATGTAATAGTTTTGAAACAGATACAGTGGATTTGTTCTCAAGTGGGTGCAAAATTTTCATTTTCACAATTCAGACCAAAATTGGTCAAGATATGCCCTATCTTAATGATTTTTCTCGTTTTCAAGTAGGTGTGAATGGATTTTCAGGTGGGTCTTGCCTGTTTTCAAAATCTCAGGTTGGTGCTGCACCCACTTGCTTTAATTCTGGGGAGACCACTGAGATAAACTAGAAATTCAATTATAGGTCTTGCATTAGGTCCTTGTATAAATCCCTCACAGATATATCCCATTATTCCTCCCCAAGACAAGGAACTGAATGATTCAAGAGTAAATCAGCCTACACTATAACTGGTAAGTGGTTTTCTTGGCTTTACCTACCAAACAAAAATGAAACTTACCTTTTCCCGATTTCTTCCCTCCTTTCCCTGCTGCAACAACTGCACCATCTATCGTGTGAGGTGGCATCTTACTCCTTGAATTTAAATCCTGTGATTCAACCTTTGACCCGACCTGGGAGTCCTGAAAATATATAACACAATATAGACAATCAATAGTCTTTCATTATCTTACATTTTAAAGTTGGTTAAAACAGATTTCAAGAGTGTACAAGCCTATTTTCAAAATCTCAAGCGATGGCTTAAATGTTGACGAGTTCAGTCAGTTCGAGTGCAGTTACATGTTATATAACGTGGATGAGTACCTGGGTGGTTTCTTCCTTCAATGTAATGTGTTTGTAGAGGTCCTGGTGAATATCAAGCTGCAAATCCTGACTTTGTGAGCTCTGAACTATAAAACAAGCTGGTCGACCCTCAGAGAAATCTTCTAAGTTGAGGTCCATGTAGTTGTCATATACATGTTATATGAATAATTATGCTGCAACATACAATTGGAAATGTTTATCAACTGATTTCATGGCTAAGCTAATCTTTTCAGTCAAAAGTTACTTTAGGGTGAACGTGAAGGGGTTTAATGTTGACATCATTTCTTTTTAATATGTGGTAACTTTGACGCAAGGGGTAACTTCCCCACCTTGTTGTTTATTTGCTCCAATATCCTATCTAGGTAGATACCATGTTTTTCTTCTAGCATGGATCGAGACCTCACAAGATTTTTATTTCTTTCAAAATCAATCATGGCAGAAAACAGAAATTCTCATTTCTATTCTAACAAGTAAGTGTTGAAGTTAGCAGTTAGGGCTATGGAAAGCCAATGATAAAAACTATGAATTTTGATGCTGTTTGTTCTTTGTGTATCTGAATAGCAAGGTATGTTGCAATATTTATTTCCAGTACTGGAATGGTTTAATAATTAATTATTGGAGGCATTTTGGATGCAAGGTAATCTGAAACAATAGAGAATAAAAATATATATTCATGTTTTATTTCAAAATGTATTTCCTTTTACTAGCTTAACATGCCAAAGCTAGTCGTCTATGCTTTCGTATAGACTATGATCGGATTACTTCATCTCAATCAATTCCAAAATCATTGTGAATGAGGTAGGTCATTTAAGTATGCAACCAGAACAACGGCAACGCCAAAGCGTAGCGAATCCCATCGAACAGGAATGGCTGGCATTTTTACAAACGAAATATATAGCAAACATCATAAAACAACACACCAGAAAGGCCACCATTTTCAAAATGGTTGCTCACTAGCCAAGTTGCCATCAGAAGAAATAATATGCTTTTAAGTAGCCACCTATAAAATCTTTGAAAAATCGCATACATGTTCTTGTAAAATAACACACATAAAAATGGTGGCCATTTTTCAAAATGACTGACTACTCCCCAAAGTTTTATTAGACAATGTGCCATGCTTAAAGTATTCACATATCAAATATGAACAAAATTGCTCCACTACTTTTCGAGTTATAGTAAAAAATGTAAAAATGACAGCCATTTTTATAAAATGGCTGCCTACTATCTGAAGTGTCATGAGACAGTGTGCAAGGCTCATGAGTATTCACATATCAAATATGACCAAATCGCTTCACTACTTTTCAAGTTATAGTAAAAAACATAAAAATGGTGACCATTTTTCAAAATGGCCACCTACTACCCAAAGTGTCATTAGACAGTGTGCCATGCTTATAGTATTCACATATGAAATATGAAACATACCAAATATGAACAAAATCGCTTCACTACTTTTCGAGTTATAGTAAAATACGTTAAAATGGCGGCCATTTTTCAAATTTTTTTTCAAGATGGCCGCATTCTACCAAAAGTGTCATAGGACGGTGTGCCATGCTTATAGTATTCACATACAAAATATGAACAAAATCGCTCCACTACTTTTCGAGTTTGGTAATATACGTTAAAATGGCGGCCATTTTGAAAAATGGCCGCCTTCTACCAAAAGTGTGCAATGCTTATAGTATTCACATACCAAATATGAACAAAATCCCTCCACTACTTTTCGAGTTATAGCAAAAATCGTAAAATAACGAATAAAGGCCGCCATTTTTCAAGATGGCTGCCATGTGCTTCTTTAATGTCTACATTTATAGCTTTATTAATGTCCTTCATAATTTTTTTACATTTAAAACATATTGCTATTACAGTTTTACATATTGCACCTAAATTACTGTAAAATCGGCACTAAAATGGCCGCAATTTTGAATTGAGCGGCCATTTTGAAAATCAGCTTTCGAGCAGAACTTCTACCCCCATAGGGTATATGTGTACAAAATATGAACAAAATCGGACCAACGGTATTTGAGTTATCGCCCGGACGGACGGACGGACGTACGTACGGACGTACGTACGGACGGACGGACGTACGGACGGACGGAGGCGTTCCCTATATCCCTCCGAACTTTGTTCGATGGGATAATGAGTAGTATTTTCTCTTTGTTTAACGTAGTGGGGGTCGTAGGATGTGATAAAACCACAAATTTATTCATATAAAGGGGATTTATAAATGCTGCTCAGCACACTGTTTAGTCAAAATGGGCTCACAAGTTCTTAATTTTCTTTTTAAGAAATTCCAATCAAACTACTCAGAGCTGACTCTGCCAAATATGCTTAAATTTTGCCAGATTTGTTTAAATTTTGCCAAATTTGCTTAAATGTATGTATTTTCCATTACTTGCACCAAGGACGTCCTTGATTGCACAATGTGCATGTGCTCTTCAAATAAATAAGAGGCAAAAATTTAGCAAAAATGTGAGTTCCAATGAATGAAAGAAAACAATTTTGAAAGTGACTGCCGACCAAAAATAGAGTTTTCTGGCATTCAGAACTTTGGTGCATCACGTGCATTGCATCACTGAACTTTCACATATTCTAAATTCTCTTAAAATACATGTACTGCAAAATATTTACTCAAAATTGTAGACTATATCCTCTAGTCTGAAAGTTTTTGGAAATTTGGAATGAAAATATTTTCAGGAAATTCAGTCTATTGGATATAGACTACTCGAAATTGGGGGGTTCGCATAATTGCCGGAAAAGGTGGGTCCAAATTTTTTTTTGGGGGGGGGATTCGCACGAACCAAAGTCAGCACTATCAATGGTATACTCTACCTTTATAGATAAATACTAGAAGTTCAAAAGCTGTTCGCCATTTTTGTTTCACAACTGCGTCGCTACAGTGTAAAATCGTATCCTAAAGCCCAAATCCCGGGAATCCCGACTCACTGTTTACACCAACAATCAATCAGATGGTATTATTACACCAAAAGTAGTGCGAAAAAGTTTTGATGACATTTAAAGACACTGTTCCTCTTTCACGTGCATCATCTCATGGAAATGGGCATACCAGTGTTGCCAGTGCAAAGATCTTTGTTTCATGGTAAAGGAAAGCTATCAAACATTGTCCTGAAGAGCAGATCTAGCTCCGTAATTTTACTTTTAACATGGCTACCTTGACAACATATAGCCATTTGGGCGATAATAGGTGATTCTAAAGTGAAAATGAGTGCTTTTTTCGTAGTTTTACTTTGACCAAGGCTTGCAAAAAATTTAAGTGATAAACCTTCCAACAATTTTTGATATTTTTGTTGTCTCGAAGTGTTCTAGACGATATCAAAGTGGAAAAAATTTGTATGTCTCGAAATATTTCGAAAATTAGTGCCATTATGGCGGGTCTGGGTGTTTTTTTGCTTTCATTTTTTACCCATTTCCATGGTTGCCATGGTAACTCATACCAGCCAACCTCCCGTATTTTTACGGGAATCAACCAAAAAATATTCGTTTTTCCGTAAAAAATCTAAATACCATAAAAAAATTACCGTTTTTTCCTGTAAAAACGACCGTAAAAAATCTGCTGTAACTTTACCAAAATCTACCGTAAAATATTTTATTATAATTCGATTTTTTCTATAAGAACGGCCGTAAAATATATCGTAAATATTTGAAAATCTACCATATTTCTGCTGGAAATAACAGTATTCTTGTTCAAACTACCGTAAGATCTCCTATAATTATTATGAAATTCTGAAAAATTGAATTCTTCTCGTATTGCCCTTGTAATATTCCATCACCAGCCCAAAAAATAGGTGCCGGCAGGTCTTTGACGGTGGTTATTGCGTACTTAGTAAGTAACTAAGTAAGCTGGCGTGTAATCAGTCAACACACTGGGGAATATCGTGATGCAAAAACAGTGTTCAACTACCACAGGAGGAGTTATCATGATTAATTTGTAAATTGCTACATTTTAGCAATGGTATGAGTATGATGTCACAATACACTGGGACCTAACTGGCGTAAAGGGGAAGAAAAGGGCCAATTTTGCACATGGGGACCACATTTGACTCAAAATATTTGCATTTAGTAACCTACATTTCAGTACATTCTGTGTAATACTTGAAATGCATTGCTATAATGATTTACAAAATGAAATAATCTCGGGGAATTTGCTTCCAAAATTTTTGAATGAGATCCCTGAAGTTGATGACCCAATTTAAGGTCATTTTGGCCCGTTTTTAGAGACTCAGCCTTCACCTATTTCCCCAAATATGGCTAGATTTTGTAGAAAACGTGTTAAAAGTTTGAAATGCAGCTGTTTTGAGCCTGAGATAACTCAATTGTTTGAAAAAATGCTGAATGAGCAAAAATTATGATAGTAGAATTTTCCCATTTTTGGATATTAAGGTGTTATAACGGTAAATACCACTTACGGGTAGGACGTGTTTTTAATACTTTAAAAACGAAGCCATGCCAACTTCAATGGTGTCACTGTGTATAGGGTGTTCCAAAAGTAACAGGACTGGTGCTGGTTTTTTCTTAAACATGGACCAATTGTCTTCAAAATTTTACATAATGTACTTTCATGTATTGTCACTACAACTGCAAAATATCGAAAAAAATGATAAATATCGGGTGGAGTTATGGTTGCTATGGTAACATGACATCACAATACCCGGGGCAACATTCTAGGCAGAAAGGTTTCACAGACTTTAAGCAATTTGTACATCCCATATCAAAGTTGAAATTCAACAACTGATGGAAATTACAATTGCTTTACATCATTTGATATTCCTATGTATCCTCTAATTTAAAAAGTAGGCTCCTCTTTGGTCAGTACAAGAGTAGCACTCTGTATACATAACTCAAACACATGAAAGAACTCATCTGAGGACATCGCAGTGTCGATTGGACAACGTGAAGAACATCATTATCATCTTTAAAGGTCTTACCCCACTGATTAATATTCCATTCTCCATAAAAGTAATAAAAAATTAGACATTGCATGATCAGAAGAGTATGGTGCATGGCCTTAGACCTCAAGACCTGGCTCCTCTATAGCTGCAGTGGTCTTTAATGCTGACCTGCGAGCTGGCGGGCGGGTTATTAAGTGGATGACTGGCTTCAAATTAGGTCTTTTCGAAAACTCAATCGTGAATTTTGCAGACTGTTATACATAGTAATATTCCAGGAAATTAAATAAATATTATTATAATGAAATCATACTTAAATATGAGTTGTATAGCAACACCATAACAACAAAGCAACTAATAAAACAAACAAAATATGTTGTACTGTAATAGGTGAATTAGATAGTTTTCTTAGTAATACACATTTTCACATATCACATTTTCATGAAAAAGTTGCCCCGGGTATTGTGATGTCATGTTACTATAGTAACCATAACTTTACCCACATTTTAACATTTTTTCTGACACTTTACAATTTTAGTTGCAATACTTCAAAGTACAATTTGTGAAATTTTGAATACAATCGGTGCAGAATTGACAAAATGACAGCACCAGTCCTGTTACTTTTGGAACACCCTTGTATAGTAGGTTTAAGTATATGCATTGTGGCCATTTGAGGTATGTATGTAAAGCTGAGGCCAAGTACTTTCTAAATGTGCCATTTTTAGAATAAAATCGCAAGAATATAGTCCCGTAAACTGGAACTACTTTATTCGTTAATTTTCATCGGTGAAGCAGGGATTTTACCTAAAAATGAGTCCCTATGTTGGCGTAGTGATATTTAAAAATCGAGACGCAAACCCTATGTTAGATATAGTGTAAAGATGAAGGTTATGGATATAGTCATTGTATGGGCCAGTTCGTTCGAAAATGGCGATATCAGAACTTGAATTTTGTGATTTTTTTCAATATTTTTCAATGATTTACCGTAGTGACACCTCCATTTTTAAAACATTTTTACAACAACAACCAATCAGATAGGTTTAATTTTTTACATCGGGCTGTGCATGCGCCATTGGAGGAAGTGGATTGTTCGAGTGTGAATTTGGACCAACTTTTGCAAGTTTTACCAGGAAATCACCTTTCATTTGGTATGTTAGTAACGTTTTTTCTCGTATTGGGTATGTAAGAATCATATACATGTCGAATTATTAGCATAAATGTCACAGTTTGAACGATAAATGGAAATATAACACTTCCGGAAAATATTGTCACAAACGCCTTGTGGACTTTCCTCTGTTTAAGTTATTAGAGATCTATTCACTATATTTTTAGAATATACCATTGATAGTGCTGACTGTGGCACGAACCCTCTCTCCCTACGGCCTAGTTCAACAAGTTAAACCCAATACCACGGCTTTCATTTATTAATCTGAATGTTCTTGTTACCGTGGTTGGGTTTAACTTCCGTGCTATGCCTTCATTTGATGCAAATTCTCACTACCAGTTATGAATTAAACGCGCATGGAATTCCATGCGCTACCATAGGCCACCATTAAAATATTTGCATCAAAGGCCAAATAGGCACGGAGGTTAAACCTAGGGCGGGCCACAAGATATGTCAGATGAGAAATAAGGCCCACACTAGGTTTAACTTGTTGAACTACCTACGGCCCTGATCTTTGGAGCAACTTTGACTTTGTTTATTGAAAGCATGTAAATGCATGTGTATGAACAGTAAATACTTAAGCGATAATCACTCTAACACTGGCCTGAATCCACCATTTGACAGTGACAGGTGACTGTCAATGAGGTGTGACATGTTGAATTTTGATGTTGATTTTTACAATCAAATTTTTTATTCTGTCAATCAGTTCATATGGTTAGAATAAGGAAAGAATGTGATATAACCACGTGTCTACTTACCGGCTTGTTCTATGTCATCCATCGGACTAGGTTACATCGTGGAACGCAGCCGAACAGGACGCTGAAGGCAACAGCATATCTATCTTGATCTTAGCCGAATTTTGGGAAATTTAGATCGTCCATTTTGCAAGCTCACGTGACTGACACGTGACACATGTCTGATCACGTGACTAGTTACTGTATCGATCATGTGACTTAATCACGTGTCAATGACGTGTCACCCAATCATGTCTTCAAGGAAAACGGAAGTAAATATTTTTGAAAATGTTTTCCGAGCATTTGCTACTGATTATAGAAGGCCAAATTACGCAACGAACGAAACTGCTAAATTGTTTTCGTGCCTAACATGCGCAGTACGCAATGAAAGAAACTGCTAAATTGTATTTTTAGAGCTGTTTATTGATCTATTGATTCATAAAGACCTGTAATGATGCATTCAAATAAGACCGCCTCCAAAATGAAAACAGTACACATAAGGTGGTGAAAAAACAACGAACTAAAGTTGAAAGATCGCAACGTTCGCTACTTTGTTCAATTCCGGAAATCTCCAAGGGGCTGCAAATGGGAAATTATTTAGATTTAGATTTTATAACCTCAGAATACTGGCTTCATTGTCGTGTTTGGCTGCGTTCCACGATGTAACCTAGTCCGATGGATGACATAGAACAAGCTAGTAAGTAGACACGTGGTTACATCACATTCTTTCCTTATTCTAACCATATGAACTGATTGACAGAATAAAAAATTTGATTGTACTTTTAGAACTTTTACAAGTGCTTTGTAAAATCGATGTAAATGGCAAAATCAGGAAAAGATCATATAAAACATGTGAAATAAAAAGGACATACTTACTGTTTACATGTATGTAACTCAAAACATCTGATATTCAGCATATTCATTGCAATAAATAACTAAAATCTGACTTCACTAAAATTCAAGTTTGGCCTTGCCGCAAAATTCTACACCGTAGTCTCAAAACTAGGTCAAATTTCAATATCTGTATTTACTATTAATAAGAGATATTTATGAAAGTTGTAGGTAAATGAAATTACTTGAAATCGATTTTCTCTAAGAAAATAGTAATTTTGCATTAAATTGATGGCATACACTTTTTTCCGTACAAGTTTTGTTTAGACGAGACTAGAATTTTAAAGCAGCCATATTGGATGTCAGAAAATGTAAGTCGTTTGAAGTATCTTTAAAAATCAGCTTTCATCCCCGTAAAACTTTGCGTTATTCACTAATTAAGTTAAAACTTTGTAAGACCAATATTTCATCTACTTCTTTTTATATTTTAGTATTCAATCCTGAAATGTTATTTCTGTTTCTTTTGTATTTCTATTTCTTTACATCTGTATTATTTTTTAGAAACAAAAGATTTAAATTTTTCAAAGACCGATAGGGAATTCATAATAGGGGCTCAGAATAAGAGATAATAATTATATTTTTTGTTAATGGTAAGAATAACACAGAAGCTTCAATTGCTTCTTTATGAAGTATTTAGACGAAAAAGCGAAACAAAGGATTTTTGAGGTTAGGTCTGAGGCCCAAAATTCGTCCCCTTTTTTGTCAAAATGCTTTGTTACAAAGCTATTTGACCCTGCTGTATATCAGTTACGCATGTCGTAGACTATGCATTTACCAGAATTTGTATGCATCGGTATACAGAACAATATTAATAATGATATATTTCAAATGCTTGAATGACATATTGCTTATGTCAAATATCAAAATTAAGAAAAAACGCAAACCCCACATTTATTTACAGGGGCTTTTATGGAAGATCTGGTAGAGCCCTCATGTCGCATTAGAAAGGAGAGTAATAAGACATGAGGGCTCTTTTATCCCGTGCCAGGACTATAGTCCTGAGAACGTCTCAATCTTTTGCCTGTACGATTACAACATGGAAGAATTTTTTACGCTTCTTACACTTAAGATACCTACTTCAATAGATTCCTTGGTATTTTAGCATTCTTTTCGTGAAGTTGAATCCACAATTGTCTGGGTTTATCGGCAGAAAAAGGAAATTTTCGTTTTTTATCGCAATATTTACGTGTAATATTTAACTTATTTCAACCGTCAAATACCTCCATTTATTGGTACTTCCGGGCCAGTCAAACGGGGAATCCCCTTTTAAATCCAACCACCATCTTGAAAATTGATGGCATCTCTCTTGATGAAAAAGAAAAATGTTCCTGTTCTGCCGATATACCAAGATAATTGTGGATTTAACTACAGGAACAGAATGCTAAAACTCCCAGGAATCTATTGAAGTGGACCTATCTTAGTGTAAGAGGCGTAGAAAATTCTCCCATGTTGTAATCGTACAGGAAAAAGATTGAGACGTTCTCAGGACTATAGTCCTGGCACGGGTTCTGCTCATAGAAAGGAGGCTTATAAGACACGAGGGTTCTGCCCAATCTTCCATACAAGCCCCTGTGCATTTATGGGGGTATTTTTATCAAAATAAGCAGCTTATCGCACAAGTACATACATATACCATAATATAGCTGTTTTGACTCATGCCATAAGCTGCGTTTTCAGTAATGCTGTTTCACCATGTAACAGATGTAATAAATTAGAATACCATTGACATAAATTTTTTTTAGATTACTTCCTGAAATAGCATTAATGCCACTTGCTCATTTGGGTAATATCATAATGTAAATACATGAAGAAACAAAAACTTTAATTTTCCCTGAATTTGATTTTTATCAAAAAAAGTATGAGTCCTGTGATTGGCCCACAACAGAATTGCAAAATCTTTACCATGACAAAGGTAGGCTAGATTATGAAACTCCGCCAAACACAAAAGTGAATACATTATTCTCAGATAATAAAATGAAATTGAAAAATCTTTTCATTTTTTATCATTCTCCCAGTGTTTTGTTCAGAGCAATCATAAACTTTTATTTATTATTTTCTTTATATTTGCAGGATATAGAGATAAACAATTACTGAAACCAGATATTGAGACAAATTTTGGAGAGTGTATCGTGGAGCGAGAGAAAGCATTGAGAAAATATATTATACATATAAGCCATATCATATTTATTCAACATTATAACTTGCAATCACATTTGAGTTGCCATGGCGACAACTGTACAACAGAACTCAAACCATAGCATCAGTCCAATGAAAGGGACCAAGTCTCAAATAATGTAAGTGTTTATGCATAACCTTGAATATTAATTGCTCGTTATTGTTGGTGAACTTAAAAAAACATTGAGGTCAAGTATATATTAAAAGATTAAAGCACTTGACAGATGAACCTTTGTTTGCTTGCACTCAAATGATTTTTGTTGTGTTATGATTTTCAGAGAGGCAAAAAAGGCTGATGACCAAGGTTGGAAAAGTAAACTAAATATCCCGCAGAAGGATACTCGTTTGAAAACATCGGTAAGATAATTTTACCAGGAGTGTGTTAGTGTCATGGTTAACACCTATTATGTATGTTGAAGTATAATATCTGCTTATAAGCTTGTAATGTGTCTTAAAATGAAATATTTCCAAAATAATTACCCAAACTGTCCTTTTTTGCATTAACTATGATGTCATAATCTTAAAGATCTAAAAGTGAATTATAAATTATGTCTGGCATGGAAGGATTATATTTTTGTATCATCATTAGTCAGTCAGAAAATTCCCAAAAATATTCTCTATCAAGTCTGGTGAAAATTTTATGACAATAGACAAGCTTAATCTGTTTGACTGGAAACAAATATTATCTTTTGTTTCATATTCATATGCATAGTGTGAAATCAAGAAAACAAAGGACGAAAAAGATGAAAAGTATATATGATTTAACTATTTTGTATCATATTATTCTTATCCATACAGGATGTCACAGACACAAAGGGAAATGAGTTTGAGGATTACTGTCTTAAGCGAGAACTACTAATGGGAATATTTGAGAAGGGTTGGGAGTCCCCTTCCCCCATTCAGGAGGCCAGTATCCCCATTGCGCTATCAGGTCGGGATATCTTGGCTCGTGCGAAGAATGGTACAGGGAAGACTGGAGCCTATGCTATACCATTACTGGAGAGGTGTGACCCATCTAAGAATGAACTACAAGGTCAGTTTGTAATAAAATAGTATGATAGTGTAGGGAAGTTGCATCAAATCTCTAGTTCCCCCTCCCTTCTCTTTTTCACTTCAAGCTACTGGTTTAAAAACTTGATACAAGGGGGGGGGACATGAACTAAATGGATAGCTCACAATTCTAATGACCAGCTTTATTAATAAAAACTCAGTATAATTATGATTTGAATGTAATGGGTGTGTCTATTGACTTGGGTTTTTATGCATGGCTGATTTATTTGGCTAACTCTAGAGATATTAATATTTAAGAGGCATGTAAAAGCATATTTATTACATTTTTATTCTAGCTACATTATGATCAATCCATACGTAAAAATCAATTAATGTATCCTTTGAGTACATTTGATACAACGATGATGTTTGAATTGTAGACATTAGTCATCAAGACTATTATAAGTGTACCATTTATATATGTATGTAGTATTTACAGAAAAATTGATGAGTATTTTATGACCAAATTGTGCTTCAAATATCGTCATCTGCACCTTGAACTGTTTCATATCGATTTTGACTCCTAGACGCATTCTTAAAGTATCTACGTACAATGTAGAATACCAAAGCCATTGCAAATATTCCAACCAAAATGAAAACCACAAACACTACAACATATCCTACCGCAAGTTCTGCGGGGTGGACAATATAGCAATTAGCTGTTTGATTTGCATATATCATAACTGGGGTATTTTTCAGTGATTCGGGAGTGAAACATTTAGTATGTGTCCCATTAATTATGATTGCACTATTGTTGACCATCCAAGAGGCAAAGTCCGCTAGGTTACATGTACAGTCAAACCTGTTCACTGATAAATCCAAATATGTTAGATTGTCGAGTTTGTAAAACAACTTGTAGTCGATTGTTTTAATCAGATTGCTGTTAGCATTGATTGATTCTATTGTAGATGTTGGGCCATCGAAAAGTCCCACTGGCAAAACTTCAAGTTTATTACCAGAAATGTCAACATATCTGAGTGAAGCAAGGTTCTGAAAACTGTCCACTTGGATTGATGTTATTTCATTGTCTTGTATTAGGAGTGTCTCTAAGTGTATCATGTTTTTCAAAAGTTTCCTCCAGTTTGAGTGCTTAGTTGATTTGAGAGCTCTGTTGAGCCTTAATATTCGCATATATGTGGCCATATAGAAGAAGTTATCATGTAGAAAAGCTATGTTGTTGTTACTTAAGTCAAGCTCTACTAAATCCCCTGTGTTAACCAGTAGATACTCATCTATGTCCAGTAAAAGATTGTCATTCAGTGAAAGTGATTGGATTGTGTAAAGGTCATCAAATGTGCTCATATCTAAAGCACTCAGTTTATTATGTTGAAGTCGAAGCACACGTAACTTATTTAGACCTTGAAACGAATCTTTGGCGATGGAATGGATTTTATTTAAGCTGAGGTCTAACTCATTTAAATCAGTAAGTGGAGAAAATGCCAGCGCTTTTATTGTCGAAATCTGTCCATGTGATAAATCCAACCTTCTCATGTCTGTGCTTTCTAAATTTGTCACTAGTTCCATTGTTATATCCATTTCAGTTGACGTTTCTTGAATGATCAATTGAGAAATGTTCATATTTTTCAGACATAGAAATAAGTCATCCAATTTTACGGCTTTATTATTGCTGAAGTCCAGTACTTTGATCGGGGAGAGTTTGCGAAAGGCATTTTTTGAAACACTTTGTATGTCACCTGAGCGTAGATACAGTTCTAATATAATGTTTCCATTCTCAAAAAATTCATCATTTATATCGTTTATCATATTGTCACTCAGATTCAATGTAATAGGGTTCAGAAATTGTTTGAACACTGGGCCAAGTTTATAAATACCTTGTTTTAGATATAAAGCTGCACTGAAGTCCAAGTATTGCAAGTTTGTTGAAAAGTTGAAAACATTTACTGCACTATCTAAATCTATAAATTCATTCTCTGCAAGGTTTACATGTACCATATGATGGAAGTTTTTACTCAAACTCTCATCTAAACCATCAATCCAGTTTTTACTGAGATCAAGTGTCTCTAGTTGTGCCATGTTTTTTAAAATTCGATTTATGTCGCTTGCGCCCAAGGCATTTCCCGATAAGTTCAAATATCTCAGATTAACCAATGGACTGAAGGCTTCAATGATTCCAATTTCTGCGTTTAACCTTGTTGATGTTAGTTCAAGTTTTTGTAAATGGTCCAAGCCATCGAATGAATGTGATTTAATAGCGACATCTTTGTCCATATTAAGGCGCCTCATAGTGAGACTTGTAACATTAGAGCTGACATTCTTGAAATAATTATCCTCCAAAGTTTGAATGTGGCAGTTTGTAAGGATAACTGTGTCTATGCCTGGCGGTATACGTGGCAATGTTGCAATGTTTTCACATGTGATCGTACTTGCTACACATGTGCAAGAACTTGGACAGTCCTCACTTTGGACTCTTCCAAGGATCACAACAGCAACAGAATATGTGATTAGTGCAAATGATGATAGCTCCATGTCTGTTGATTTTTATATCCAAGCCTGTATCCATGAGACTTAAATATTTGCTCTCATATTCTTTTCATTGAGTATATTGAACTTCAGGTTCATAATAAAGTCTCTTATTGTCTTAGATATATGTAACAGAATATTTAAAGTTATCTTTAAGAACTTGAGAGTTGAACATACAAGCTCTCCATGAACAATAAGGGTCTCCAGTGTTCAGTATCATGCAATAAATGACTGAGGAAGGTACATATATCTTCAACTTGATTTTCTTCAGGGATCATATCAAAACCTTCATACCACTTTCTAGGGAACAAATCGAAGCATGTAAGGCAGCTGATGTAAGGCCAGAAAACCAAGTTCAGAGATTTCCATCCCCACTTATTTACTATAAACTGAATCTGAATATTGATTGCTTTAAGCTAAATATCAACAGTTGATTTGACTATATGTACGTGAAACAAAAACTGCCTGCATTTGTCTTATATATATCAGTGTTTGTTTTTAATTTCATTCTAAATTATATGATTTGTACCTGTTGAAAGGCTAGGACATATATGTATGCCTAGTAAGTAATTCTTTGAACCTTAAAATGGCAGATCAAAACAAAACTGACTACCTGACAGTTTATATGGTTACTTCCACAATTGAACTTTGTTGTAAGTACCACATAGATATTTTGATATGACCCCTTTCAACTTAAGATATGTCGAAAGATCAGCCTATGCAAATGGTGGTTTAGATTACATCTTAGGATAACATATCGCAACTTTGTTTGTCTTTCATTGTCCACAAAACCAAAATGATAGCCTTATACTATTGTTTTCAGGTTTTTGTTATATCTGTTTTCTTATCTGTTCAATTATTGCCTTTTGGTTCATTCAGTCTTAATTGCAAAACATAGCCAGGAGCAAAAATACATTAGTGAACACAAGACAAGCCCTTGCTATATTTACTTGATAACATATGTTTGTTTTTCTCTTTGTGGTATGTAAGCTTAGATTGTCTTACATGTAATTAGTTCAACATGTTTACTTGTACTTCGTAACCCAATCTAAAGGAGAGCAGTCTCACACATGTTACTAAAGAATACTTGTTATTGTTAAGTGAAAAAAAGATTTATCATCACCATAGCGTCCATAGATGGGAACAATCTTGAACTGTACTTGAAGTAGCATTCTGAATCTGGCATTATGGTCTTACATTTAAAGGTCCCATGGGAAGTTTGTTTAACAGTTTGAATCACCTGAACTTATATTGTAGTCTTACTTGTCACATGGGTCTTGATGCGCTGCATAAATTGTACTTAATTTTAGAGCTAGATATAGGACTTAATATCTATATGCTTTAGATGGGTCTTTAAATCATTCCCTTAACTATTTACAGACTATAGTCCTGTAACTCTATTTCTAGACCCAGCCTGTATTAGATTGATGGGAAATTGGAGGGGGTGGAGGGGATACATGGATTTTGCAAGACTACTACTTAGAAATTTTTTAAAGTTGAAAATGTAGAATTTGTACTAACACAAGCATATAAAAAGGTCTTTGCTGTAGGGTTGAGAAAATTAGAAAACCAGTGAGACTTCAGGCACGAGCCTCACTAAATAGTACACATGGAACCAATGGCAATGGCCCTTATTTTGGACATGATATAGCTATCACAGCTTGTGGATATGTACTCACTCTTTAGAGGAACCAAAGGTGTTTCACTTAAACATGTTTTATTTTGTTGTATGTTGTAGGAATTGTGATAGTCCCTACTAGAGAGTTAGCCCTGCAGACCAGCCAGATTTGTATTGAGTTAACAAAGCATGTTGGGTGTAAGGTCATGGTGACTACCGGAGGAACTAACTTGAGAGATGACATTATGCGACTTTATGAACCAGGTAAGCTAGAATTATTTTATGATCCTCTGTAGGAGTATATTCCTCTGTCATCATATTAAGGTGATCTTTATGTAGCATATTATTAAACATCCTCCTAAGCAGGTATCCAGAATCCGTACCTCCTTCTTCCCCCTGCTATAACCAATTTGGAAGCGCCCGATTAAACTGAATCACTTGATCTCATTATGCGCAATGACTTATACATGATTTCTGTCGCAGTGTTGGGCAGCCAATCAGATTGCGAGTTCTTAATCGGGAAAATGCCAACTTCTTATCGCATGGTATAAAAGAAAGAATATATTCTGGATCGGAGGATGATTATTAAAGTGGAGAAGTTGTTTTATTATGGCATAAAGAGGAATTAAATTGAAAAATGCTTGAATCAGCTCACATTCACAATAAACTTCTTGACACCATGTTACTTGTATTTGTAGTACATGTGATTATTGGTACCCCTGGACGTCTCCTAGATCTGATGAACAAGGGACTGGTCAATGCCAGCAAGTGTGGGATGCTTGTCTTAGATGAGGTAAGAAGATTAAATTTGATTGAGATTGAACTTAACAGCCATGTGCCTTGCAGTGTTTTCTGCTTTTATTACATAATTTTTTCTGGTTTTCAAATGTTAATGGTAAATCACAAGCTTCCATAGCTTCCATAGCTTCCATACTTGCATAGCTGATATATACAGACCATATGATAAGTCAAATCTCAGCAATAAAAATATTGTGTTGTGACTTTTTTGTCTTAAATGGATTCACTGCACTGTTTCCATTTTGTATTATAGGCTGACAAACTTCTGTCTCAAGACTTCAAGGGTATGTTAGACAACATAATCAGCCATCTGCCAAATGATCGCCAGATTCTGCTCTATTCCGCTACCTTCCCTCTCACTGTTGAACAGTTCATGGTGAGTAATGTCTGGTATATCTCAATAATCACAATAAGACTGAGGTTCAGACATATTGTTTTACCATTTCTATGGTTCTAGCAGGGGTTTGGTTTGAATCGCCGCTGACTCGAGCACCAGTCTGGCATGTTTTGTATTCATTTGCTTCATTCATTAAAAAAGCCATATGCCGCAGACATTTATATTGAAAATATTGTTTATCAAATTGATGCTATTGTTTTCAGCGCCGTCACCTTAACAACCCCTATGAGATCAACTTGATGGATGAGCTCACATTGAAAGGTGTCACACAGTACTATGCCTTTGTTCAGGAAAGACAGAAAGTTCATTGCCTTAACACACTCTTTTCTAAGGTAAGTCACCCCTTCATGTAGTGCAATTAGAAATACTTTGCTTTATTTGTGTGGGCTAATGTTGACTCATCATTTCAGCTGTTCTCTGGTTACGTTTGTTAATATCATTAATGTGCTTCATTATAAGATTGTTTCTCATGCTAGTATTTTTCGATCACAGATTGTTTGTGTTTTATATCAATTTTTTATTGTTTTGATTTAAAACACAGTGTACATATATTGTTCAAATAACCAGGAGGTACTGGATGTTGATTGATTGTTTCAGTTTATACATTCTAATTTCCTTTTTCAGCTTCAAATCAACCAGTCTATTATATTCTGTAACTCCACCCAGCGTGTTGAGCTCTTGGCCAAGAAGATTACAGAGCTGGGATATTCCTGTTTCTACATTCATGCCAAGATGAACCAGCAACATAGAAACCGTGTGTTCCATGACTTCAGACAGGGGATGTGTAGGAACTTGGTCTGTTCAGGTAAGGAATACTAAAATGAAACAAGGCATTAATATGCAACATGTCACTACCTGTCGTTTGTTATAGACACCAACTGCCAAACAGCAACGGCTGAACATTGTCCACAAAAAAGTTGGAGTCTATAACAGTTTGCACCACATCTGGTGGTGACATAATCATACATGTAAAACTGGATCAATGGTTTCTTTAAATTTTGTTATTTTGACAGAATGCCTACACAGGGGATTCACTAGAATTTCTCACAACAGGCAAAATTAATGGAAATCATAAATTTAACATGAAAAAGTTGAAAAGGCCCTAAAAACAACAGACGATTTTGTGAAAACTACTGGTGAAAATCATCTGTTGCCTGCTGCTAATGAAACCCCTCACCCCGCTACATGTTAGTATTCCAGTGGGACTGGTCCTTTTTAGAAATTTGAAATCAGTAACATGAAGTACATGTATTTCCTTCTTTCCAGACTTGTTCACAAGAGGTATTGATATTCAGGCAGTAAACTGTGTCATCAATTTTGACTTCCCTAAGCATGCAGAGACCTACTTGCATCGTATTGGTCGTTCTGGACGTTACGGACACCTGGGTATTGCCATTAACCTGATCACCTATGACGACAGGTAACAGCTTAGCCATTGAATAGTTTTTAGTTTAAAGTTGTGAATAGTATTGCAATTGGTTTATACAAAATGACATTTTGTTCAACAGGTCTAATTGTGTACTTTGCTAGAGTATTTGTTGAAGTATATTAGAGATATGTGTAAAAATTATTAGAGGGTTATGTTTAAAAGTTTTAGGTATAGTAATAATAACAAACTGCACAATCATCAAATCTTCTTCTTAAATATAATATATTAATATTGTGGATAGGCTATTGTTCACGTTATGTCTTATTCAGATATTAATTTTATCTGAAGTATCATGTATACTTAATCTGTGTGTTATGCATAATGTCTTTAAAATCTATTCATTTGTAGGTATGCCCTGCACAAGATCGAGAGTGAGCTAGGCACAGAGATCAAGCCTATACCTAAGGTGATTGACAAGGCCCTGTATGTGGCTGAATGTGGCCAGGAGGATCCCGAGGAAGAACAAGAGAAGAAAATGGCAAGGAGAGATGTGAAAGGAAAACAGTAGATTCAACAACAAACTTGTACAACTCAACTCGATATACTCTTTCTCAATAAGGTAGCATTTCAACGATTCTTCTTAGTTCGCATTTATAGGAGATGATGAGTGTTTCCCAAAATTAAAAAGTCACACTTTGACGACAGGGAATTCAAATGAAACTTACTGAGACACGATTTTCGAACAAATTAGATTAAATTTAAACTGTGTAATAGCCAGATAAAGAACAGCGTGGACTGTTTTCAATTCTGAACAAACATTTCTACATTAAGGCAAGATACGTTGGAGAATTCTCATATAAATGCTACTAAGAAACTAGTGATTGTATATTGCACTATGGACCTGTGAGTAAAAAGCAGGAAAATGTGACGGCAGGTTAACAAAAACAAACAAAATGCCAAAGGACTTAATGTGTAATCCAATGGAATACTGAAACCAATGCGAATATCCGCAAGAGCAATCAATAACAGTGGAAATAATGACCAATGAAAATCCGAACTGATAATTGCATGGATACGCTGTATCTGAATGGAGAACTGAGAACCGCTCAAGGATGTGGTTGCTGGATGTTTCAGAATTGAAAAATAAGGATTTGAATGAGGTAGAATTTATGCAACAAGTTAGTTTAATAGTAGGGAAGTATTTACTGAAGAAGTGCCAACTTCAGACCTTGAAACAACCACGTCACGTGCATCTTTGAGGTGTCAGGCCTCAGGAATGCCTGATATATTGGAGCTTGAACCATTATTGCACACTTTCAGTGGAATATATTCAGTGTTGGTTAGAGTGAGAAAATATTCCAAGTTATTAATGATCTCATATACACTATACAGACAACATAGGATTGGAGTGTTATATTGAAGGTTCAGTATATCAACCTAGCTACGGGACTTGGGAATCAGAGCAGTAGCTGAATTGTAGAATGTGTCATCGACAATCGTAGCAGGTGTCATCATCATGGAGCACATGTCATGGTCAATTGTAATACGTGTCATCATTCATGGTAGCATGTGTCATTGCCATGTTTAACATGTGTCATCGACAACTTAAGTGGGAACATGACACATCAAAACAAATGCTTATATCACAATGCTGCATATCATAAGGTGCACAATCCTGCACTACTAAGAAATCAAAATATATGGTGAATAAGGTGCAACACTTGTCTCTGCGCCAGATGAATCAATGAGATATTGGGGTGCAAAGAAAGGAGAGAACAGTTGCTGTATATGTCTGCTCAGTCACTCATAGTGTGTTATATAATCGCTGAAATACTGTAACTTGGTCTGCAAAATATGTGTCTCAGTCAATATAATCCCAGGCACACTTGCAAAATATTGTTTTTTTTCAAATCAAAAAGATGGACAATGGCGGTTGATACTGAGTAGTCCATGTTCATGTTAGATTCATAAATTCAAATCTGAAAGTATTTTGAGGCCCGGTTACAGAACATTGTTCCTATGCTACCTTACTGAAGAAAAAAAATGATATGAGTTTATTGATAAAGGTGCCATTTTTGAGGCATCTTTGTGAAAAAACTCAATATTTTGGGGAATAATTGACACACATTTGGGAAACGTTGTGGGTACATAGCAATCTGAATGTGAAAAACTAAGTTTTGTATTTATATCAGAATTAAAACATTCAGATATTTATTTTCAAAAAGTACAAGTGTGACTTTCTAGAAGCATACATAGCTCAGTTTAGTTGAATATTTTATTGTCAATTACTCTGGGGTACTCATATTAAGGGGCCATGTATGCTAATGGAACTTCACAAATATTACTTATAAATGATACATGATTTTCAAAATTGAATGGAGGCAATGTTAGGTTGATGTCGAGCCCTCTGAGTACATGGCTGCACTTATTGGTCAAAACAGCTCAGCATAGTATTGCTTCCTTTTGAGTTATTGGGAATTAACGTATTATTTGTATTGGTGATGTCAAAGCTGACTGTATTTATTCAGTGATGTCAAACCTGGTAAACTGTGAATTCAGCGATGTCAGTTCTGGTTATGTGTTAATATGGAAATGCCAATAGAATCTCCTCTGGAAGGCAGTTTTCAAAATGTAAAGATTCATACCTGTTTTTTCAATTAAACACAATTAAAAAGTTAGAATTGTAACCCATAGCAAACAGAAAAAGGCAGATAATTATGATGAGCCTCCAGTTTTCTTGACTTCTTATTTCATCCAGTCTACTTCTAATGACATCCAATTTACTTCTTATGACATCACTGATAAATACACCCAAGGATGTCTCTACATTGATATTGAGACATACACAAAATAACTTCCAAGAAATGCAGTTAAAAATGAGTGGTGGTGAAATGTGAAATCACTACAAAATCAGCACTCTTAACCCTTGTCTTACTATGCCATGTGCCTTGGGATGTGCTCCCTGGCAATTGTAGGGTTAAGATAGTATTTAACTGGTGCTACAACCAAATGTGAAGTCATATGTGAAGATTACTTGATATCCCTGGTGTTTGATTGCAATACAGTTAACTACAATTTGGAGAAGTGTTGAAATAAATATGAAATTTCATTCCAGATTAAGTATATAAGAAGAACATTATGGGTGTATATTAACTGTGTTGAATTCAGGATCAGGTTTATTTTGGGGGGGGGTCTAGTTATTAATGTAAATCAATCTGATACCAGGGAGTTGAGTAATCAGATCACTGAAGTCACAAAACAGTAGTAAAGATGTAAATATGTGGTAATAATGGAAGATTCTCTCATGATTAACACTACCATTCCATATATTGTTCACTATCATTGACAACCAGGGATAGTGCTCTCTGTAAATGCCTCACTCCTTTAAGTTTTTTGTTACTATTTGGACAAAATTGCACTATAGCTGCAAGTTACAACTCTACTGTTCTATCCATTGTTCACGAGATTAGAAAAAGAGATAGAGCTTTCTGTGAATGGCTTACTATCTGAGCTATCTTTCAAACAAGATTGAACTATAGCTGCAAGTTACAACCCTTTTAAGAGAACATTACATACATGTAATACAACAAATCTTTTCATAGTTAAAAATGTTCCATGGTATATGTTGTAATCATGAGAGAATCTGACCACTTGTAGAAATGTGTGTTGTGGAATGTAGGCTATGCTTCTTGTATATTTGCTTCCCGATACAGTCATAGAAAATAATTTATTTGAATGTACATTAAGAATAATCCTAACGAGAAAATGATACTATCTAGTATAATTATCAGTAACATATGCAGGAGTTTAACTAGAATTTCTCACAACAGGCTAAATAAATGAAAACAACAGGCAAAATTAATGGAAATCATAAATTCAACATGGAAAAGTTGAAAAGTCCCTAAAACAACAGGCGATTTTGTGAAAACAATCTGTGAAAATCACCTGTTGCCTGCTGCTAATGAAACCCCTAATATGCTTCAAGTATGACTTGATCAAACAAGAACAGTGCTCAAATATAATCATGCTCAGTGCCAAAGGCATCATACCCCTTCTAGTTGGCAATATTCAAGTGTCATTAAACAATATTGAAGAGTAGAATTCAAATCTGATATTATCTTTGACTGGGTTAGGGAACTTAGGGCCAATTGTAAATACTACTTCACGGTCATTCAGCTACAGGGTGGACTGGGAAGTCGGCGTTATATATGTACTCTAGCATGGCCATAATTTGATAGCAAAGCTTAGGTGGCTCAGATAGTTATATATAAGATGGTGTATACATAAAAATGGGAGTTCATATCCACATGTCAAAATAGATTTCCGGGAGAGAAAACATTGTTTATTTCATTTTTCTCACCCCATTTTATTTATCCATCTTGCCAAGCAATGTTCATTTACTCATGAGAAAAACTCATTAAAAGCTCATTAGCAAGGTCGTTGAAGGCCATTAGCATAATATTTATGGTAAAAATGAGAGTTATCAAAATGTGGCCATCCTAGATTCATATGTGATGTTTCTGTGAAAATATACAGAAATTTGAAATACCATATTCATTCTAGAGAGTGCACTCAATTAAGTGCCCCTTTGATACTTGCTATGCATATACTGTGCATTCTCTAGTGATAATATGGTACAAATGAAGATATTTTTGTTGTGCAAAAGTTGTTTTACTACTGGCTTTATTCAGGGCAGTGTATTGATGATATTATGCACACGTTAAATAATTGAAACTAATACAAAATGGCTTAAAAGAAAATTAAAATAATGCGAGGCATTGAAATTGAAGCAATGCTCAAATTATTACCTGCCTTGAGTAAAAACCATACCTTTTAACAGCATTGATGCTTTTGTACATTGTGTTGTTATAGTAACAGATGCCCTGTAGTATTATGTACATTTAGTTCACAACATTCAGTTAACAATACGAGACACCATGGTTATAGAGATTTTTTGTACTTGTATGTATACTGGATACCAAATGCTGATGTTAAAACCAAGTACTTAAGTGTATTGCAAGATCCTTTACATGTAGCAAGCTCTGATGCTTATGTCCGGTGTCTCTTGTATTATGTTAACTTGTAATTCATAGGTAGTCAACAATTCTCTGTGTACTTTATGGGTGACTAATATATAGAGAACTGTTGGCTGCCTGTTCCGAGACGATGCAATAATGTGAAGATCACTCGTCAACTCTTAACAGTAAAGAGCTCTCACTGAGTTCTGAGGACATAGGTGACCACAGATGTTCAATCATACTCTCAGCAAAAATGATGATTTCAAGTGATTCAAATATGGAAAATTCATTTTAAAGAAACATGAGGTTCGGATGATATTTAAATATTTATTTGTATGGGCATGAAACAGATTTTGATGCATTATACTGTTAACATTGAATTGTGATGTCATACGTAATCAGAGGCTGTGCACAATGTTAAAAACGCACACATTGATGCTTTATTTTCAAATGTCACCATAGTAACATGTTTAAGTTATGTGAAACAATCAATTAACTTGATGCCATATACAATTACAGTACAGGTGTGTTTATCTGGTACACAATGTGCAATCAGATAAGAGCCTACCTGTATTGAATGTTCACTTTGTGATGAAGAAACCCTACTTTTAAATTGTGATTGTTAAAATTGTAGACACTTTACTTGATTGGACTAATTTTTGAAATGTCATAATTAATTTTAATGTTATATGTTGAGTAGAAATGGATGCATCCTTCCAACATGTTTAAAGTTTGACAGTCGGCTATTTTGTGGAAATTATTATTTATATTTTATTAAACCTGTGACATACAAGTAAAAGAAAATCTGTCCAATGGTCCAATGTTAACACTGTAGGTTATCTACTCATGACAGGAACATAAATTATGGGCAGAATTTTATGAACAAATGTATTTAAAAATTGTAAGTGATAATTTTTCATGCATAATGGATTTATTTAAAGAATTCTTCAAATTAGGTTAGATATTTTTTAATGCATTTAATGATGGTCGCTTATGTGATGTCATACTTAAATATGTTATTTGATGAATGAAATGTTGTCCCTATTCAGGAAATATCATTCGTAGCATCAGCTGCTGTTTCTGGAAAATTTCTTAAGTATGATGTCTTGTGCGTTTCAATAGTCTTTGATGATTTTGCGGTGGTAAACTCATGAAATTCAATTGAATTCTACGAATTGAAATTGATGATATTTGCGGGATAAAGTTACATGATTTTGAGATTTAAATAGAATGAATGAGGAAAATGTGCTTTGGAAATGTTGGATCTGAGGTGTTCTACACAATGGTAACTGAAGATTTAGTTTAAAGTGACAAAGTTTAGTTCTTTATATTGTAAACAAATAATCATTTTATTTTAATTTAAAATGCAACCAGAGAGGTTGCATAATTTTGTAATATTGTCACTACACAAGCTTCTAACTTTTACATGAGAATTGATTGAAATATTGAGTTATGGTGATTTATTTCAAGGTTAGAAGTTAAGTGTTTGGAGAAGAAAGTACATGTAGGTCAGTTTGATGTACAAGTACATGTAGGTCAGTTTAATGTACAAGTACCTGTAGGTCAGTTTGATGTACAAGTACATGTAGGTTAGTTCGATATACAAGTACATGTAGGTCATGTTGATGATGTACAAGTACATGTAGGTCAGTTTGATATACAAGTACATGTAGGTCAGTTTCATATACAAGTACATGTAGGTCATGTTGATATACAAGTTCATGTGGGTCATGTTGATGTGCAAGTACATGTAGGTTAGTTTGATATACAAGTACATGTAGGTCAGTTTGATATACAAGTACATGTAGGTCATGTTGATGTACAGGTACATGTAGATCATGTTGATGATGTACAAGTACATTTAGGTCATGTTGATGTACAGGTACATGTAGATCATGTTGATGATGTACAAGTACATGTAGGTCATGTTGATCCAATTTAAAGTTTTGCTCAAGACAAAACTTAAGCCCTTCTATTGTAAGACCATAAGGGTGATATTTTAATGAAGCTGCAAAATCTCTGTATGTAAGATCTGCAGAGTTAATGTAATTTGCAGTTAATCCCTAACAACAGAACTTGAATTTTGAAATGATGTCTGTTAAACATACACTTGCAATGAAATAACTTCAAAAGTAACAGGATCTTAATGTAAGATCTCAGTATTAAGATAAAATGCATAACTGTTTTATATATTCATTTCAAATTGATTAGGTTTTGTTGTTAGGGTTACTTATTTTGCTCTATGCAAAGTTGAATAAGGGTTGAGTTAACTCTATCCCAGTCTAACATTATATGTCCATGACAAAAACCAAACAAAAAGATAATGTCAGTCCTAATCATAATAAGGTAAGAACATTTTGAGAATAACTGGAACTATGCTCAATTTTGTGATTTTTTGCAAACGATTCCCTGTTGTGCAATGCATTTCAGAGGATTATGTATTGCAGAGCAATGTCATTGCTACACACTAAAATGTTTGATAAATGAACCTTGGTTACAGTAATGTATATGACAACATTACAGGGAGCTGACTGGCAACTGGACTGACTGGGATAGATGTTAACTAGCTTTCAATAATTCCAACCTATTTGACTTCACTTTTGGGCTCCAGTTTTCAGGAATTGCAGACTAACAAAACCAAATGAGCCAAAATTGAAAGTACACATGCACCAAAGAGCAATTGGTGAGATATGAGGTTGTAACTTTGATAGAATAGGTTGGAATGTATTGAATGATATTGTATCAAGCTACCAGTCATTTGGGTATTAGACTGGTAGATTTGGTACATGTTTGATAGGATACAGTTTTGACTTGTGTATAAAAGCGGATCTCAATTTGGTGTAATATTTGAAAGTTACATTGTGCCATTTATATTCTCATTTTGAGGTCAATGGGGGGGGGGGGGGGGGGGGTGTTAATTATGAATTCAAAAATAAAGCTTCAGTAAAATTGATTAGAACTTGCAACATTGAAAAAAATTCTATAATATTTGTTATTCAAATGTACCATGTTTTCTGACATACTCGAGTATTTATAAACTTAACTCCAAACTGTATCTTATCAAGCCGGGTCTTATAGTGGGACCAACTTTTTAAAAAAAAACTACAGGGTATATGAAATATGGAATTTTGGAGGTTGTTTGAAGTTGTTCACCATGTAATATGTACTTTCTAAATTCTAATTCATCAGAAGTTTATCCAATACAGGTAAAGATACTTAATGGACACCCTGTATATATGAATTAGATTTTCAAGGTACTATGTACTCATTAATAGCCAATGCCAGTTTCTACCTGAGTACTATACTCTAGTAGCTTGGTCATCATATACAATAGATCTACACTTTCCTTATGGTATTATAAACATGCAAACAGTTATTTAAGCCTTCTTGGGCACTCTCCTATATCTAGCCTAGGGCTAGCATCTTAGGTAGTACTTGATGGGCTATTGGTGTGTTGAACAACTTTTCCAAATCTCTGAATTTGTCTACAATAGGTGTTGCAACTGGTTTATTGATATGTGCATTCATTTTCAGTTTTGCATTAAGCTGGTTTGATAAATCAAATGTTTGCTATCATTTCATGCTTTTGATCTATATTCAACCAGAGATCCTTTAAAATTGCAAGATTTACAGAAGAAAATTGGCAAGATGAAAAATTAAGACTCAATTTTGTTAGAGATCATATGAAATGTATCAGAAAATGAAAGCACTCTCAATATCAGTGAAAACAATAAATTTTGGCTTATTTTCAAATATTTAGGTTTACAGTTTGTAAAAGTTTCAGCCAAATTATATTGATGTGGAATAGATATAAGCGCTGCCTTGTCTTGAGATTCAACCCTTCAAGCACTTGAAAGGTCAAGGAATCAAGAGTTTTGTATTTATAATTTGGCTAGACTTACCATTGAAAAATACTAAAAGATTAAGTCTTCCACTGTTTATTGTAGATTGTCATAGAAACTGCAAGTTTGAAAATCTTTCTATTAACAATGTCATTACATTAGACACATTTGCCATTTTTAAATTGTTTAATAATTTGTATTTTGTCAAACCATTTGTTACAAAGTTTCTTAAATCTCTTCTATGCTATGCATTGGTAATATAGACTGTTTGGATGCTGTTTTAGATCTCTTTACAGACACATCATCAGGGTTAATCAGAATTAAAATAATATTTTTATGACAATGTACAAAAAATTGTTTTGGAGAATAAAACTACTTTCCCTAAAATACACTGTTTGTTAATAATTGTCCCACGATGTTCAGTTGCACATCACTCCAACTTTTAAATAGCATTTTCCATTTTGACATTAATAATATAATATTTATTACCGGCAATTTTATCCAACTCACATGTAGTAGTCACAGGAGTGGTTACATCGCTATGGCCACCATTTTTGCGATGAGCATAAAACAGCACTGATATGTCTGACAAATACAAGAATAAATCTTATCAATTTTTTATTTGACACAAAAGATGAAGTCAATCTCAATATGGTGTTTCTAACCAAGAATAGGAAACAATAACATACAAAAAGGCATCTGTTTTATCCCCTTTTTTGTTGAAAACTCAAAAGTGGACATATCTGCACATAGCTTAAAGTTTTGGAGGTCATGTACGAAACATTTTCAAAATTAACAATTCTAAAATGATGGTATAAATGTAATAAATGGTTATCACTTCTGTTTTACAAATTCTCAGATAAAGCAAAACAAAGAGAAACCCTAATTTTTGTACAAGTTATGTTGAAAACTCCAGATTTTTTATAAAAACACTAATAAAACCACAATTTAATTTTAACCCATATGTTTCGTTATACCAAAGAAAATTACTTTACTCCATGCAATGGGTATATCATTTGAGGGTAACTTTCACCTCTGTTAACTTAATAATTGGACGATATAGTGACACAATAATATTTAGGCAACATGTTTTCAGCATAACCCTGACGGTATTAATGAGATATTGATGTATTGGGTCTTTTCAATTTTTTTATAAAAATAATGTTTAATTTCTTTGTCCGCTGTGAAACTGCTCCGTCACAGAATAATTTAAAGAAATGTTACATTTTAGAGTATGATACTCTGGCGCCATTTTCAATAGCTTTTACTAGAGTTTAGCTGTATGATATTGCAAATGGTTATTTACAGATGGCTAAAACTTTGGATTGGAAGACTGTAGCAGATAAATTTCAATCATTAGGGATGATATCAGCTATCACAGACAGATTATCCCATCCACCTGTATGGGTAATAACTGAAAATATCATTTGAAAATTGCAGCTGGTTTCAAAATGGCAGCTGTTTTAATGCCAATTTCAATATCTTTGCTACATCCTTTAATATTTGTAAAATATATTTATATACCAATTTCTCCTAATATAACCTCCAGTTTGTAATTTAAAGTTTCCAATGCAAAAACTCTAAAATGTTGATTTAGGTCAAAATCTATTTTTTGAAAAGTATGGCAACCATCTTGAAAAAGTGAAACATTTTTCTATTTTTAGTATAGTAGTCATAGTATTTAAGACATTTAGTTTGCAAGTTCGAGTAAAGTCAATCTCCTTGGAAATTTTTTTAAGAAATGATTTTCAAATAGGCAAACTAATTTTACTTCTACTTATGACCTTTATACATGCCAAGGGTTGAGATTTTTTATCGCATCGCACCAGAAACAGCCAGGTGTAAGAGATAGTATAGAGCCTGTACATTTTGCGTTATATAGCCCAGTCATTGAAGAAATCCTTTCCCCAATGTCAAATACAGAAAATCATCAATATTATGTACATGTACTGTAATTCTACTTGATTTGGCACCAACATACTTTAAGAAATAGGAATAAATTATATCATTCCTTTGACGAAGAAAAGAACATTTTGTGAATCTTAGATTAGTCATATGATTTTACAGATTTTTCAACAAAAAAGCTGCCAGTATACTGACTTTGTCAAATTCAATAGTGCCAGATTAGAGAACTAAAAGTACAGTTGTCAACATACAAGGTGTGATCAATATGTAATAGATGCTTTTTAATGCAATATACTTATTGATCACCCCTTGTATCTCACAAAACGAACAACAGTTTATTATATTTCACTTTATTGGTGTTATATGGCATCACATGACATAGTATATTTGGAAGACTTGGAAAAATATGCTCTTCTGTAAATACACGGGTTTCATTAGCAGCAGGCAACAGGCGATTTTCACTGGTTGTTTTCCCAAAATCACCTGTTGTTTTAGGGACATTTCATCATTTCCATGTTAAATTTATGATATCCATTAATTTTTTTATTTTATTTTTTATTTATCATGTTTTATTTATATAATAATATATGTCCGTTAATTCTGCCTGTTGTTTTCATTCATTTAGCCTGTTGTGAGAAATTCTAGTGAAACCCCTGAAATACATTCCAACTTCTCAACCTGAAGCTATAAGCTATACATGTAAGTTATGAGTACAAATGTTTCACATAAATACTATATACAATGGTCATCAATGTTTGTCTCTTTCTATAATTTATCCATAAATATAAAATTGCAAATAAACTTTTATGGGAGGATTAGTGTTATAACTTATTGAACAATAACTTTCATATTATCTCCCCATAACATGAAAGTTTCTGGAACTATATGTCATGTTTTAGATGTGATATGTAAAGACGATGTCAATAATCCATAATTTTCAAAAAGTGTTTACTTCAAAATTCAATTCTTAATTACACATTGCCCAATATGTATACTTCTGGATTCTAAATCACATGACTCAAGTATCACCTTGAATTTCCAAGGAATGAAGTTTGAAACTCTTAACTGTTGAGTGAGTACTACACGTTGCATTGTTTTTTCCACACTGCATTAGTGGATTCCTAATTGTACCCTTTGCATTCATTCGACTTTACTTCTTAAAAGAGAGCTTCGTCTTCACTCGAGTGTAGTTTAACTAGACTCTGCACGCAGGGTATTAGTATTGCAATTGGTCAAAGCAAGTACAGTAGAACCTGTGTAAGTGTTCCACTTAGCAGGTTCTACTGTATATTGTTTGTGTGTTCCTTTGAAATGTAAGTTAATAACAGTGAATAACAATACATGCAAAAACTTTAAACATATGTTATATATAAACACTATGCTAGAGTAAAATAAACTACATGGTAGAAACTAAAAAAAATTGATAACTGTAAACTGAAGAATAACTAAGAATATTGATTAATACCTTTAAGAGCTAATTTTTATCAAAACCAATTTACTCAAAGATAATTCACGGATTCTGAGAGCATGGTATGTGAACAGTAAAATAAGTGTAAATGAAGCCCGGTATACACCAATGGGGCAAAATCCCATCTTGCCCCAATGGTGTATACCGGGCTTTAAGTGCAACACCTCTGCACATGAAAGTGGAACACTTGAAAGTCTTGCTCCTGAACACTTCAGGAATGGAATAATATTTTAAGGGTACCAAAAGTGTTCCACTTTTCTGTTTTTACTGTTTGCCCTATATAAACAGAATTCAGCTGTCAGCATACAAATAAATGCACTTGGTACAGTATTTGTAGTATACTTTAAACAGATCACAACCCATTGCTCAGAGACAAAATGGCAAAATAATGTAACATTTAAAAAAGGGTCTTAGTCCATAAAATCATTTGACAGATCACAATCCATAGCTCGGAAGTGCATCTACTAGGACGTTCACTTAAGTGAGGTGAAAGGTTAAAATATTCATGTGAATACTAAAATTCTTACTGTATAGGCACTTATTTTCAAGGTTATTTGTTGAAAAACTTATAGATTTACCGTTAAATGCATTGCTATGATTTTTTTGTCTTTTGTTGACAAAGGGTATATTAAAATATAAGTAAAACATTACAGATACCGCAAACATTATAGGCGCAGATCTGGAAACTGGCAAGGCGAGGGAGCAACAATTTTCTGGTGCCCAAAAACACCCCAGATCTGCAAAAAATAGATGTTAAGGCCCTCCATGTATTTTTTTCTGTCTGATTACATCAGGGTCCAGAAAGAGGATTCCAGCCACAGAGCTGTAGCCTATCAACAAAAATAGCAGTTTTAACAGTCTATCTTGTTGTGAGTTAAACTCGTGTGGTAAAACCTCAAAAAATGTCACATAGAGAAATGTCCCACATGCAATACCTTGAAGTATTCCATTCACTAGTGATGCTGCTAAACTATCAGAGACATCTATTATGAGCATTCCGATTGCAATTCCAGTTGGCGATGCAAGGGAGAATGCTAGATTTGAGCGGATTACGCCCCATGTTGTAAGCTTACTTTGCATTAAATTCATACCGAGACTAAATGCTAAGACACATTTGTGTAGGATTAATGCTATGAATATTTGCAAGGTAGCTTGAGCTGTTGGTTGAAGTCCGACGGCAAGTCCCTCAAATATTGAATGTATGGAAAGAGCCATTATCAGCATCACTGAACGAATGAAAGAATGGGAACTTGGGTCATGATGCTCATGTTCATGCGATTCCTCAATCTCTGACTCATTATTATACCCAATAGATTCCACACTATTATCTGTGTTGACAACTCTATATTCACCGCTTATATCACTGATTGAGCGGTAAGGTCTCTGACAAGGGCTAGTTGGTGGCTTGGCCAGCAGGCCACGTCTTTCCTCATCTTCACCTCTTTCAATCATTTGGTTATGGGCATGATTCTCCTTAACAGTCAATACTATTTGTTCAATAATTAGTATTATAAATATTCCTAGCACAGTGATGAACTCTGCCACAGGGTAGCCTGTTATTATTCCCATTTTGTCTAGTGTTGTATATAGTTTGTCCTGAACATCAGGAAAGAGGTCTAATAAACAAGTGGCAAGAAAGACGCCAGCAGCAAAGCAGCTCAAGAAACTAATCACACGCTGATATTTGCGCCTTCGTTCTCTGTGGGAACTATCATTTACGGCAGCCAGGAGCTTAACTGGGAGCATGCTAGATAGGAATGTCATGCAAAACAGCCCCCCAAGCACCAGCGACTTCACGACAACTATTTTCATTTTGACAACTTTCAAGGAGTGCTGAATTTGAAGAGATTGTTCATCTGAAAAATAATTGTAATCTGTTAAACTATACCACAATATCACAAATTTTTAACGACAATAATTATCAATGTCGAAAGCGGAATGTTCCTTCCAAGATTCAGGTTCCATTTTCAATTTCATTCTTGACTCAATTTAGTTTCAATTTCATTTTGTTTCAAAACAAAGAAGTTAAAATTCTGATAAAATAAGCTCGTAAAACAATTCGTCTTATCATAATAATTTGTAATAGCCGATTTCAGAACATACTTACTACACTTATAGATACATGAAGTGTCACATTCAAGAGATAATTGAGATAAACAAAGCAGATTTTTAACTTTTCACGTCTACCATTTTGTTTGGATGACTGTCATGTGATGAGGGATGAGTCATTATTATATTTCCGGAATTCTAGGGAGCATTAACATTTCATTATAAATAGATGGCGTTAAAGTATTGGACTTGTTTAAAACTTGAGTAGCAGACTACCTGAAGAGCATGTGCAGATGTGAAGTAGTCTAAACAATTCTGTTTTAAAATGTCATCATTTTTATAGGCTTATAATCAAAATGAGCTGTCATGCTGTATCATTTTCCAAGTTGGTGGAGTTGCTTATGTACTGATAAAGGACAGGGCTCCCTACGAGTGTGATAAAGAACCTTTCTTGAATGTTCACCTTCAGGCTCTTCAGCTAGTTCAACTTATCATCACATCTGCAAAACTTGGTTTATGGTTGAACAACGCCTTGTTAAATAGAGTGAACTGGGCAAAACCATGATTGCTCCAACTGGAAAATGTGAGTATGAGTAGATCTATATAGGATTGATAGATGGCAGATTTGCATACCTTTTGCATTCGTTCGACTTCACTTTTTTCAGATTACAATAAATCTCTGATCTCAATGAGCCAATCAGAGTCCGTCATCGAAATGCGGACGACTTTCTATATGGTCATTTCCTCTGACATCACCGCATAGTTAATGAGCACGTATTTAGCACGCGTTCCTTCCACTTCGCTGATTGGCTGTGAAAGGGTCAGTGGCAGATTTGAAATTATTTATTACCCAGTCTGTCATGACTCACAGGCACAAATCTTTGGGGCGGGGCTGCTAAATTGAAATATAGTCTATATTAGGCAGAGGGTAGTTTATTATAACTAGACTCTGCACGCAGGGTATAGATGGCACTGATTTTTCCATAGGTTCTGGGCCGATATAAAGATGGCAGCACCAACAGAATCCAGTATTATCTCTTTCTCTATTTATAAATAAACTAAGATCGACCACCATGCCATCTTTATTTAAAAATTATTCCTATTGGCCTTTGCCTATGGATTTTTCCCTTGCACAGGACTGTACTATTGTATTTTAGAGTACTGTCCTGGCAGAAAGTAATCACCAATTATCAGATTATAGCTGATCCATAATGACTATCTTTTATTAAGACCATCTCTACTTTCTGAGATGTAGAGATCGTCTTGGTACCCGGGCACTATAGATAACACAAATGTGAGGTGGCGGGGGGGGGGGTAAAGCAGGGTAAAACAGTTTTTGAGAAATCCTTCCAGCGCAAAATCTTTTCCTTACCAATAAAAAGCTTATTTTTGAATAATTTGAAAATGGGGATGAAGACCCATCATTTTGGACCAGCACCTTAGCTCCAAGTTAGGGAGAGTTTGATATAATATCATCTCTTCTTCAAACATGACAGAGACAGGTTCAAATGCAGGAATCTGATACAACTGTGACAATGTTAAAATTCAAGACCTCATACCTCGCACCCAATTAACCACGCACCCAAGTAACCATGTATGTGGGTCCTGATACAGTCTTTGAAGGGTTCAGTTTCTAAAGTTTAAAAATTGAACCCTTCAAAGACTGTATCATGGCCCCACATACATGGGTATGTGGGTACCAGGTACGAGATTATTTAATGTTAAAGATATGATGAGTATCAGAATATTGGGAACATCAAGTACAAACATGTTAGATCATTCCCTAGCAATGTTGAAAGTTTTATCATAACATGTCATGTAACCCCTCAATCTATTACCCAACTATTGCTGGTAATCTTACATAATGGAGACTCATGTTTCAGGTAAATGGTTAGAGGGAATATTAACAATAAAGCACTAGCAGGGACCCCACATTGTGGTGATGGGTGAGTATAACCATTTCATGGAAAGTTTTATTGAACTTCTTAAAGCAGAACATTTATTTTTATTCATATCTACCTATTTATTGATAATCAAAAAGTATTCCATTGGCCAATACCTAGGAGGGGGGGGGGGGGGCAATAAAGAATATGAACATTCCATGGGTGTTTTAATATGACCAAATTTGGCAACATCACCTTCTAGTCAGTGTTTAAAGGTACCCTGACTACCAGACTACCTGACTACAGAGGCTATAAGGTAAGACAAAGCTATCTCTTAAGAAGCTAAATCAAATGAAGGGTAGTTTGAAGGCTAAATGGATGTAACCATTGAAATAGAAACTAAGTGTACCTAAAACCAGTGAAATATTATTAATATCATAAGTGATACATAATGATGTAGAGTTGTAGACCCATAGTGCTAAACAAGGTGATTTACTAGCCAGAAACATAAACACTTGATCCCTTGCTAATCTTAATCCATGGCAAATAAACAGAATTATGGATTATGGAATTATGGAGGTGCATTATGAATTCAACGCTAGAGTATGTAACATATTTAAAACTGGTCTGTCAAAATCCATGTAGGGAGGGGGGTGGGGGTGGGGTAGTCCAGCTATTTGGAAAAACGTAATTTCAGGTTGAACATGGTACCCACCACTCTGGTTACCATAGCAACCATATCTCAAGAACCAATCAAAATTGAGGTCCCAAATTTTGCCATATAATGTATTAATATATAACACATATGTGTACCAAGTTTCATTGCAAAAGTTCTATTTTCCTTGAAGTTATGGCATCAACTGCAAAACTTTTTGAACCACCTAAGTAGTATTGAATATGAGGGGCATAAAATATTGAATATAATCTTGCCTATTTATTAAAAAAAAAGTCAGCAGTTTTGAATCAATGGATAATCCAGGATAATCCCTTGATTTTTAAGATTTTCTCACAAAATATTATACATTTTCCTTCAAATCTAATGAACATTTCAGAATCTAAATTATTAATAACTTCAATATTTGATCTGATATCTCAGTTCTTCTTTTCGAAAATTAAATTAGGATTATGAGAGAATACTGGCATGCTTTTTAAAAGCAGTTCAGGCCCGTAGCCAGAATTTTCCAAGGGGGGTTCATTTTTCCAAAAATTTCTAGGGGGGGGGGGGTTCACTTTGGCAAATTTGGCCAAAAATCACTCAAAAATTAGTCAGAATGGTGAAAAACTGCATGATTTTGAAAGAAATTTTGGCCAGGGGGGGGGTTCGCCCGAACCCCCCGAACCCCCCCTGGCTACGGGCCAGGCTGCAGTTTACACTTTCCAGTCTTTGGTGCCACTTTAAGGGCTAAATGTCTTTGGCTAGGATAGTAGTCAGCCTTATGGTAAGGATTGACAACTGGTATGACCATTAACTTTTATAGTATACCATCAACTTTTACGGCTTCTAGATTATTAACTTTTTAATAACTCAGATGCGAGTAGGTAGTTAACAGTTTCATCACCAGGTGCCTTGTTTGGGTCAGATAGCATGGCGGGTATAGTAGAAAGTTCCATTTAACTTAAATATTCATCTGTTTTAGTGGTTCAATTTTAATATCACCCTTATGTATCTATTAGTGTGCTTTACAATTAATAATAATGATTAGAGAATGTTTCTCCTTTTTAACTTTCCTGCATATTGATATCCAATTTATATCCATTTTGAAATAAATTAATCAGGATTATACTTCAGAATGGTAGGGTAGATAGTGAGGGGAGCTGGGGTAGTGATTGGATTGAAGTGAAGTTCTTATGATGCAACATGTTGAATGGATTAGAGGGGATTAACATCATCTGGATTACTGGTCAGTGAACACTAAAGAGATGTGCTCTACTGAGGTTGAAACACAGAAATAGGGGCCAGTTCAAACCCTTTATACTTATGTTGAAGGAGATGGAGGGGGGCAGTTCTTTTATTTTATTTTTCTCAATTCCCCAGTATATTGGTGATTACATAATCTTTCTTTTTATTATGCAGATTAATTTTCATAGAGTTTTCGTTGGTAAATTTGATAATATCTCAATTTTAGAATATCATCAACCTTGGTCAAAGGGTATTATGATCTCTCAATTTATCTCATATTTTATGCAAACTGAAATTATTGAAACTTCCCCTGAATTTAGTCATTATCTCCAGAGAAAGCATATGGAACCCCCCTGTAGAGACCAGGGCCATTTAATGAATGCAGGAACCAGTGCCACTTTACATAACCATCACTGATACACCCTACCAGGGCTAATTATACATGCAAATTAACACATCTGGAAATTCAACAGTAATCAACTGAACAGATCACAAGATCAAATTTTATAATTAATTTTACTTCCACATTTTAGCTTTATCACTCTTCACTTTGTTTATTTGTAAGTACTGTTGTCATAGTTACAGTTTTTAATTTTATGTATGGCATTAGTTTCTATTAAGTTGTCGGGTATCTAATTTGAAGCAATTTCTCCTTGATTTCTTTTTAATTCTTCAATATTCTTGCCTAAAAATTCTCTTATCAAACTAGAGAATTATAAAATTATTTTTGCTTCTGTATAATTTGGTACTGGTTTGGATTGTGCCAGGTATAGATATAGTGTATGGATATGGATGAAAAACTTCTTGAAAACATAGGTATTCTTCCAAAAATACACAATTTATGTAATTATATTTTTATAAATGTTGTTTAACATTTTTTCAAATGTATATAACGCAGTTAAATAAACTTTCATTTATTATTCCCCTATTTGATCATTTTAATTTCATGAAAAATATTATTTTATTTATGTATATTTTTGAAACAGATGGCAAGTATGTCTCAACATAGAGTGGTTGTATCATTCTGGCCATAGGAATGTTAACAGGATTATCTCAGTTCATCTAATCTATTATCTCAACGTATCCCAATTATGGGTGATTGTAAGCCATATGTCATTGTGTATAGGCTGATCAATGATCATTACTTGCCATAATTCAATGACCACAATTAGTGTGATGTAAGCTATCATTGAATTATAGACAAACTTGCTACTGTGCTATTTTTCATGCCACATCTGTCATTTTGAAATAAGGATGAGCAGATTTTAGATTTTGATGTGTCAAAAATTGATCTGAGGTGTTTGAGATCAAATATGGGGGATGAGCTTGTGAAATAGTTTGATATGAATTTTAAAAAGAATTTGAAGGTCTTGATAGGGTTTTGGAT